ATTAGCAGTAAAAATATTTTAGCTTCATTGTTCTAGCTTCATTTGTCTGTTCCTTCAACAATTAATGTTCAACTTAATTTTGTTAAAATCTTTCCATTAAAAATTATAATTAATAGAACAACGTTAATGTATGATTTCTTGTTACTGCATATCTCAAAGTAAAAACATTAAGATATTAAATGAAGCCAGTTGGTAGGTCAGGTCAGATATAATCTGATCTGGATCAAAATCACATTCTTTAAGGTTCGACGACCCTTATTACTTTATGTTGATAAATGAGAAAACTATTAAACGTGTAATTTGCCTCCCGGGGCAATTGATATTACGATCAATCTTCCCCCCTTTGAAATCCTTTTAAAAAAAATGGGCATTTGAGCGACCCCGAAGAATATTTCATAAAGAAAAGTTTATTAGAACATTTAAAAAAAATTTTTACTTAAAAACAAACATCCCAAATTTTTTTTACTGTCCTTTTTTCTAATAGAAATTTTTTGCAAAATTATTGTAAATTAAAGATAAAATAACATAATCAGGAAAATTAGGTAACGATAAACATTTAAAGGGAAAAAAAAAATTTGGGAAAACATTTAATTAGAAAAAGCCGGGGGACCCCCCCAAAAAGGGTTTTAGGGCATTTTTATTTATATACTAAACCCCATCTAGCCTCGTTTCCCCCCCGGGGACATTCTCTAACGAAAAAAACAAAATTTTTCTGCAAGGCCCGCATCTTGTAGAGGTTTTTCCCGACATTACCAAGATAAAAAAGAAAAGGTATTTGTTAAAATCATATAAATAAATGAAGATATTTACAAATCAGGAGTTTGACAAAACAGGGTCAAAATAAAACTATGAATGTGCGCCCTCTGGTACATGTAGTTTTGTAATTGAAATAATTATGCTTTTCAGCTTGTGAGGTGGTTGATTATATATATAATACTGTGATCTGTTACGAACCGCAGTTCTAACAAAAACAGAAACAGATGGCGTGGTTGATCTCATAAAAGTGTTTCAGCCTTTGAATTGGAAATGTAAATTGTGGAAATATTGCCAACCAGGATCCGTTATATATTGGTAGTGCCAGATTAAACCTAAAAGCAAACTGCATCCCCGCACAATCATTAGCTCTTGGTTCCTCTTTTTAACTCATTGAACAAACCACAAAGCAGAGTCGAAACCAACACGCTCATAGGGAATATGAGCATTGTGACAGCAATGTTGAAATATCAATAGTGATTTATATGTGTACAAACCAAGCACGTAGGCATATATTGTAACGGTACATTGCAAAAAATGCAATTGATATGAATCTAAGATAACTTTCAGCCAACATATATCGTTGTCAACAAGTATGATAATTTTGTCAGCATTTATGAATACACGACTAAGCACAAACGCTAAGCCTATTAATAATTTGTAACAGTTTGTTCAACTAAGCAGGCATTGTGTATTTTTACAATGATAGTAAAAGTACATCGAGAACTGTAACAATTGCATGGAATTATAACAATGATATTAACAAATATTTAAAGCATCTGAAATTAACAAAATAGAGGAAAACAGAATCCATAAAGAAAGCCCAACACGACAAAATTGAAAATGGTGCAGACACGTTTTTTAAGCCTGTTCATGAACAGTAGTCGTTATTGCAAGCTACCACCCCCACCCCCGCACAGGCTTAAGCAGAATTCAACACCTAAAAGGAACTGGTTAAATACTTCCTTCATTTATAAAGTCACTTGTTATGTCAATCCAACCGTTCTAACATTTATCTGGAGATGAAATCATACGCTTTAAGGCTCAATGATACTGATCCATCTAATTTGATAATTAAAGAGCAATAAATATAGATTTGCCTTCCAGGTCACGAACTAAACTGAATGAAGAAAGCAGACAAATATAGCGGTATTTTTATTGCTCGTATAATTATAGTCATATAGTCTATATTTCAAATGTTTTATTCGTTTTGAAGTCACACTTACACCGGAATAGAACCAATGACATTCCGTAAGGTAGCTGGAGGATTGCGTCCTCACATAAAAGGATTTATCGTTTAATTTTAGATATGCTGCATATACAGATGTTTCATATGTTAATACAAATAAAGGTTTAGTTTCACAATTGCAATATAAACTATGTTCAAGATATATGTATTTTACAGTAAACTCGGTGCAAGGGTATTCGAAATTGTATCAGTAAATACAAGGAAAATCATCTATCTTTCTAAAGTCGAATAAAGAGCTTAAATTTGTATTTATTGATAAACTACTTGAAAATCATTGAAGTGATTGCAAAGCGCAATATTTCAAATATTTCTTGCAATGATTTCTCTCTATCATATTATCGTCTGCTACTTTTCAGAATAAGCATGGTTTGGTAGCACAGCACACGCCATAACTCCTAGGGGGTATTAAGATATTGCTGTTCAAATGCAAAGTTGCTTTTGGGGCAATATGCAATTGTTGTCTGTTAACAAATTGACTGTATAATGCTTCGAGACCTTGACTGGTATGGTAATAGGCCAAATTCGGAAATTAAATAATGTTAGTCGGATGGTCGGATAAGATTTTGTAAATTAAGTGTACTTTCGTCTGTCGTATATGTGTGCATTTTTCAGACAGACCCCCTCCCCCCAAATAAAATAAGAAAAACAAACAAACAAAAAAAGAAAACAACAACAACAATAACAAAACGAGCAAACAACAGCATGTTTTTGTCATGAAAATGTATGTTATAAAATTGGAAAGTTAACCCTGACAGAACAACTTTGAGGATCAAAATAATTCTTCTATTTCAATGATTATTGCTTGATTATGTTACAAAATTATGGTTCCATAATATGACACTACTTATGCACGGAGGAGCACCTGAGGTCTTCCTCAACCGGTAAAGCTTGTACGTCGCCATATGACTATCATAGAGTCAGTGTGATTTTAAAACAAAGAAAAGGAACAAAATACTTCAGTTTTGTTCACAAATGATTCGAGCTTTTTTAAACAATATTTACAGTTAAAAACATTGTTATATCCCATGTATTATTATATAAACACAGTACAAAGAGCAGAGTTGTTTTTCATCTTTTCAAGATTTACAATTTAACAGTGATTATTTTACAGTGATTGATTAAAGTTTTTCGGACAGACGCGTTTCTTCGCGTTCGTTTAGAGAGCAGACGACTAAATGAATTTGTTAAATGACTGATTTTACTGAAAAATTGTTTCTGCATCAGACAGGTCTTGTCATTCTCGGCTAAGACATATGAGCCGCGTCATGACAAAACCAACATAATGGGTTTGCGACCAGCATGGATCCGGACCAGCCTGCGCATCCGCGCAGTCTGATCAGGATCCATGCTGTTCGCTTACCAACTCTATTACAAGTAGAGAAACTGATAGCGAACATCATGGATCCTGATCAGACTGCGCGGATGCGCAGGCTGGTCTGGATCCATGCTGGTCGCAAACGCATTATGTTGGTTTTGTCGTGACGCGTCCCATATAGAGAATACGATTACATAAGATTTTTTTCATGTAAATGTACGCGTGTCCTATGACTATTTTATAACACAGTCCTTTAAGTATGTGTCTTCACCGGAAGTAAAAAAAGAGAAACTGAAGAATAATGTTTTAGACACATGCTCAATCAAAAGTTTTTTTTACGTTTGTTTACTCCTTATATAATTTCTGTCTTTTGAGGGATTCTATCATTATCTGTTCTGGTGATTGGAGCATTCTTAATTAAATACTTAAAATTTATAAAGAACTTTATATCTTTCATTTAAGTTCAAACTTATTACGAGTTTCACTTTGATTTAAAATGCACAGTTTATATTAACGTAAGAAGACTATATATTATATACCAATGTTTTATCATACCCACACATATATTGTTATGTATATTTCGTTTGTTTGTTTGTTTGATTGATTGATTGATTGGCTTTTACGTCACACCGTCATATGGTGACGTTCCAGCTTTACAAGTGGAGGAAGACCTAAGGTGCCCTTCCATGAATTAGTTCAGGAACGAACGGGCTTGTCATGCGTAAGTCAAATAAAATAGATGTTCTGTTCCTATTATATTCATTGCCATGAAAAAAGAGTTCAGTTCTTGAAAACACATATAAGGCCATCCTTAAAAAAATGTTTGTTTGCAGTAACCCGACCCAGAATTTTCAAGGTGGGTAGGTAGGTCGATTTTTTTTTTTTTTTTTTTTTTTTATTATTATACTGTACTCCCAAATAAACATGGAATTTCAAAATGCTGGACAATATATGCTCTGATAATCTGGTAACAATTAATAAACTGATAAATGAATTCTAATTTAATAAGAACTACATTTTATTTCTTCTATTAACCTTTAAAAGAACAAAAACAAAGCACAAGGCATAATTTTCTGATTCAAAAAAAAAATTTTTGAGTAGGGGCAAATTTTGTGAGTCGGTCGCGTTACTGCAAACAAACATTTTTTTAAGGATGGCCTAATTATCTGTATGAAAAGCTTTCTTAAATTCAAATTATGTTTTCCCCCATTTAATATGTAATGAATTAGATAGCTGAAGCTTATTTATGCAATTCGAAGCGTAAAAAAACGTATTCTATCATGCAACAAATATACTGTATAGTATATATAACCTTCCCCTAGTATTTTATCTCGTTTAATCTCGTCTGGTGTTTATCTGTATAAGAATGCACGCGACAGAATTCCCAAAGATGAGGCGTAAACCGATGCAGTCTAGTGCGCATTGATCTATACGCAATTGTCGTCTGCTATAATCGCCGATCGATTTTAACCTTGAGAATCATTTGACAAGTCTGCCAGAGCTGAAGATTATAGAATATAAACTAGATTAACATTTCTTTCTTTCTTTCTTTCTTTCTTTCCTCCTTCCTTTCTGTCTTTTTGTCTTTGTTTGTTTGTTTGTTTGTTTGTTTGTTTGTTTGTTTGTTTGTTTGTTTCTTTCTTTCTTTCTTTCTTTCTTTCTTTCTTTCTTTCTTTCTTTCTTTGTGTAAGCAACAAAACATCAAACACACAGAATAATATAACGATTTATTAAAGAAAAAAGCGAGCATTTGATGCGTAAGTCAGAAGAAAGACATTCTGTCATAAATAAATAAATACAACCATTAAATAGTGAAACAATCATATAATTAAAAGCCGAGTGTGTTATTAAATTTCAATACAAGTATATATTTGTTTATAAGATGTAGCACTCATCCGTTACAAGAAACAACATTTCTAATTCAGTAGATTTACGATACATGTACATTTTCGTATAGTTTATATTTTTAATTTGTTTTATGTGCGAAACAAGCAAAGAAACACGGTTACACAAAGGTATCAGTTATAAAATTGGAATTTCTAAAACGTATTCCAGATTTTTTATTTTCAATTAAGCAGTCGATTAACAAAACATATAAACCCATTACCGGCTGGGACCGGAAGTGATTTACTAGTTACCGTGAATTCTGACCAAACTCTATAGTGTTGGTAGCTCTACAATTTTTGGTTTTTACAGAATTTATTTTAGTACGATTGTGTAGGAAGCTATAAGCTTATAGACCCACTTTCGAATACGTTCCTGGAACCAACCATTACTGAGCAATGAGTGTAAAGTTTCTTGCTCAAGGAAACAAAGACTTGCCCCTGAGGGGTGTGAACCCATGACGTTCATATAGCTTTTGGTAATGAATCCTTTTAAACTTTGAAGATACTGTCCCTCATTCACAACATGGCAAATCTATTTCAAATTCAGTGCGCTATGATAATATAATATAGTATGATAATAAATGATACATAAATTACTTAAACAACACTATCTGGCTCATATTATAATATTCAATCATATCAAAAAATAATAAATACTCTGTGACATAAATAAAAATCATGATACGTGATTTAAGTGTTTTGATTTTATATTTATAAAGCGTGACGAACGGAAAGTAAAAACATGCATAATTCTATGGAATTAATTTGTCTTTTTTTCAATGAATTTAAATGTACGAAAAGTTGAAAAAGGAAGCATTTATAATCACCTGAGAAAAAAGGAAAACAAATATATTGTCGTGCGTATTTTCTTTTAAAAATGAATGTCAAGTTATTAAAAGAACCCGTTTCAACAGTGAAGTAAAGTATTACTGGCCAAGGGAAACAACTTGTATGCCATATCGATTTCGTCTAATTAATGGTTATTTCCCCTTAACTTATGAAAAGTATATAAATTTAACTTGAATAAAAAAACATTATTAATATGTCGCATTTTCTTTCACTAATCTTAAACCTTAATCTTTGATAAAGATAAGCACTACTACATGTACCAAAAGGTCAAAGTTCATTCATTTGAAAAGGATTTTACAATCCTCAAAATGTTGATCCATGATTAGGAGATTAATGTTTTTGAGGTCACATGAAGTTAAATATTTAATCTATATGTGTGTATAAAGAATGTGCGCTACAAATAAAATAGTTTATTTCTGAAGTTATAAATAACAAACTAGATCTTAACCTTATCCACCCTCCCGCTCCCTTTCTGTACTTTATATGTTTTACTTTTTTAAAGTTTAAAAAAAAAAATGTTTTAGACAACTGATGCGAGATTCTATTAAAAACTATTATTTGTTTTTGAACTTCATCAACATTCCTTTCTTTTTTGAGTTCCGGTACACGTATTCAGCATGGCATGTTTTTTTTAAAGATTAGATAACATAAGAATTACAAAACCCTGGTATTAATTCTAAAACATGAACATGGTGGTCGTCTGGGAAAGATTTTCAGACAGATATATTCAGTACATATTGAAAAAAATGTTTGCGATAGTGCAAAGCATATGTTGTTGTGTGTTGCAATAATTAAGCATGAAAGCATATGCCGTAGTATACTTAAAAGAAAACAATCGTTTACTGAAGACCACAATGAAGCAAAGGTAATTTAAAAATCAAACACTTTGGTTAGCCTTGTCTCGAATGTCTGAGGAATCATCGTTGTCGTCCGATTCGCTGTCATTTAGACTTTCCCCGTCGTTATTGTCAATTATGAAATCACTTAGTCCAGACAAACTTCTATCGCTAGGGGGCGGTCTGTAAAAATGAGCTTCATCCTCCTTCGCGGATCCAATGATATCGGTTTCAGTTGCAACGTCACGTTTGTTTGCGATTCCGTTTGATTTATTCAAATTCATATCATTTCCGTGCGTAGAACCGTGTTCCTGTTGGTTTTTATCCCGAAGCTTTTTCGAGGTTATGACCAGCAATGGGTCGGGTTCTTTGTCTTGTCTAGGTGTAATGTCTGTAAGGCAATCATCGAGGGCTCTGCTCTCATATTTGCCGACCTCTGCACGATAAAAATCAAGTTTAGTCGTGGTTTTAGTTTTTATGGAGTTATTGTCCTTGAAATCTTTCTTATTTACATATTTATTGCCACCTTTCTTTCCCATAGCACTATTGACAACCTTTCCATATATCACTCTCGCTCTATCACTAGACACTGTATGTGTTAAGGTTTTGTTAGGATTCTTTCTGGTGATGAATACTTCACCTGGCTCAAAACGGAAAACAAAATCGTTCTCGGGCTTCTTCACTTCTTTAATCATATTCTCATTTTCCGTCTCATGCTGTACTTGCTGATTTTTCGTGTCTGTTTTCGGAAATGCGTGTCTTAAATGACGAGACGCGCCCTCTGTGGCATTTCCTGCTTGAGTCTTATTCCCGCCTTCTGCAAAAACCTCGAGCGTGTTAAATTTCTTCATTGCTTCTTTATTTGTTTTAAATGACGATGTCGACGACCTAGATTCAGATGTACGAATAGATGGTGCCGTTGGAATTTTTGTTATTATTTTCCCATGGGTAAGTTCTTGTTGAATAGACGTTTCCATGTTCTCTTCCATTTGCTTAATAGCTTCTTCTGTGATTCCAGTGTCTTTTTGAAACAAAGCGTTTGTCTTACTGGCTTCAGTAAGAGATTTTTCTAAATGGTACGGGGTTCTTGAATTCGGTGTTTCTTTCCGTAGTTCGAGATTTACTATTGTGGCTTTAGTATTTTCACGTTCAAAATCAATATCACCAAAGCGCACTTCGTCAGGGTCATATTGAGAGTTTGGCGGAGAGTGTGCAAGTGTCTTCAATAAATCATGATATTGCATCTCTTTTAGTGCCATAAGCTTTTCTGTGTAATCCTCATAATTGTTTATTGCATGTTTCTGGCCAACAACCTGCCCAATTTCTTTATCAAATCTTTCATTGATATAGAGGGTTTTAATTCCCCCATCTGTCGACACTTTAGCTGCGTCCTTTTTAGTTTTAGATGATAACACCTCCGTCTCTGATTTGTTCTTTTGTTTCTTAGAACATGTTTTTGATGGTCTATTTTGCGACACTCGTGGAAATGTTTCTTCCCGATGCATACGTTCATGGAGATCTAGTTCTGAACTTTCTCTCATTTTTAAATTATGCATTGACTTTTGATGCAATCTATATCTATTCTTTTTATCATCCGTTTCCATCAAATGCTTTCCGAAAGAATCAACACGCAATTCTAAGTATGTGTTAGGCACTTTCCTATTTTTGGATCCGATACAAAGATTAAAACTTTGATTTGGAAAGTTTGTTTTTCTACTTCGTTTTCTTTTGAATTCGTGTAACCTTTCCTGCACACTTTCTTCCATTAAAGCTCGTTGCGCTTTATCAAAAACCTCACTTGGCATTTCAGAAAACCACTTTTCTAACTTAGAGTCAGAAAAAGATACATGTGCTTTTTCTGTGGGTGCTACGTCAGTTTTAGGATCAACAACTTTATTCTGTTGTGTATCTGAGTTCTTTTGAACGGTACCGTTTGTTTGAGCAAGATTTGGTAGCCCATTTTTGTCGCCTTTATACTGCTCTTTTGATTTTTGATTTGCACCTTTGGTATTTGCCATTCTCTCAATATTTGGTAAGTTAACAGCGCTTTCGTATTCGTCATCAGATTCCTTTACTTTACGCAGACCTACAGCCAAACTAGTGTTATTCCTGTTTAGAACTAACATATTCAACTGCCGATGACCGAATCCTCTTCCAGGTCTATTATCAATATCATTCATACTAAGTGTACGTGATAACTTTGGAAACGAGCCAGTTGACTGCACAGATTTCACTAACTCCTTCTTGAATTTCGCTTCAAGATCTTCAATGGATTTTGTTTTATTTGAAAGAATGTTGTACATCTCACGTGGATTAGTCAGATCACCGGAAGTAGGGAGGGATTCCATTGAAAACAAGCCTGGATTGCTTCGAAGCAACAATTCCTGAGGTGTCATGGCGGTGTACTGACTCTGTTTGTCTTTGCTAATGGTATTCTCCACGTGGGTTACTAACATGTCGTAGTCAAGATCTGATGCATGTCTTGAATCCATCAATGGCGGACGAGTCACGTGTTTCTGGATGACGTTCATCTTTTGGGTAAATGTCAGAGCCCTGAAAATGGTCATTATACACGATCAATTATAACATTTTTATATGGTTTTCTTAATATTTGAATTTTAATTTAAAGTAAACTTTTTTACTCATATACAGTCGTTAAATAAAGTATGGGAATCGCTCGGGAGCATTTTCGATAATATTTTCGATAATGTCAAATATTTAATAAATGTCATAATTATATGCAGCCTTGCTTTATTGAATCTGACTAATTCGTAACTGTTATCAAAAATAGATATCACATTATATACATTAGACCCTAAGCTTAAAAGGACGGACTTAATTTAGAATGAAAGATATTTGTTGTTATTGTACCTTTTTTGGAAAGCCATATTCAAAATTCACCAAACAGAAAAGTGTGAAATAACCAAAGGAGCTGCGATCGACATCATCTTACCAAATATATAAGTAGCAAGATTATTCCAACACCCCTTTGAACAAGTGACATATTGAGAGAAAAAATTATACACGATTACAAGTGGGGATTGAGAAAATGTAAGAAAATATTATTTCAAAACGCGAATAAATATTTGTACAGCATTTGTCATATAACCGGTCAAGGAACTATACCAAATGGTAATACATCGATTAAAATGGTCATTTTGAAACGCTTTGACCGTAATCTTATTATAATTGATACGAAAAGTGATATAAACTATACAAACTGTATGAAGTGTTGACCATTTATTTACGACAAGTTCTACCTATTTAAGAAAAATTGTCATTAATTATACACTTTATTTCACAAAATAAACCTAAATTAATCTAAAAATGTACTTAAAAAGAGCATAAAAACTTACATTTCTGTTTATTCCGATAACTTAAGACGTCGGTATAGAAACATGTTTTAAATATATACAACTTTTTTTAAAAATCAAATTAAAACCATTGACTCCCATAAAGCATGTACCAGTACAGTTTAACAATACAGATTTCTTTAACGGTCTTAGTGTCTAATAAAAGGATCACAAGCGTTTAATTGATTTTACGCTTTTCCTTTTAAATTGAATTGAAATGAAGTTTTACACTCTGGGTAAATACAAAGAGATTCGGCGTTGATATAAAGAACGTGAAAACATAAGGGTAATCGTCTGGCTGTATAATGGAGAAGAAAAACTAAAAACTTTTTTTTTCATTTTTTGAATAATGTTTTATTCGCTATTGTCAGGGGTATTTATTATATATTTTCCATTTTCATTTCGTTCTTTTCAACATGCATGATACCGTGTTGAGATAAACAAATTAAATCCTAAATAAATAATGATTGTAAGTGAAATTCTATATAAGACAAGGGTTATATAAGCATTTTAACAGTAATATTGCTATATATAACCAATAAATCACGGGTAATTCTATACTGGAATGCTCAAATTCTTGGGCTCTGTTAATACACAGACGAATCGCGCAATATTTATGGATATAATTGTTTGCATAGCGTTTTAGTTAAAAGTATTTCTTGATTTATAACTGACAAACATACCTTGTATTAAACTATTCGGGTTTTTCTTTTTTTAACTTTAAATTAAAGGCTTTGTACAACTTTATGTTAATGTAGGTGTCGTGCATCGTAAATTTCAATTTATCAACACAAATAAATGTAGAACAGTGTCTTAAATACGCGATGGTGTCAAAATGAAACGCATACAAATTCAGTCGCTGGATAGTGAATATCAAAATAAAAGAATCTTCTTATTGACATGCGCGGCTTTTTAAAATCAAGAAATAATTTATTGAAAAGTTTATTTACAACGTTGCCCTAACAAGTTTTCTAAGTGTACTGAGGCGTTACATCATTAAAATTTAAAGAAAAGTAAGAGTTATCTTCCATATTGAAAATTTCGTTGTACATTATCAATAGTGACTGATTTTTTTTGTCAGACGATGCAATAACGCAAAAGTAAGTTGGTTAAAGAATAGTACAAACCGCAATTCTGTGGCCCTTTCCGTGTTACTTCGGATAAGAACCAATTAAGGGCAACAAGAGAGGTGATCTGCAAGGAAATTGTTGTTTTGGCGTAGTTTCGTACCAATGTCTTCCCGCCCTGTTATTAACTTACTTACTTAATGGAGCTGGGGGGAAAGGGAAAATTGGAGCTATTGACTCGGTGAAATTTATTAATTATACTGACATGATACTTTGAGGGCTTGGAAAATGTTTTATATATTTCTCTGTCAGTATAATTCTTTCTTATTTGTTAGAAGAAAATAATTATGAAGTATTTAATATTAAAAAATAGTTGATATTTTCGGATGTTTACACAAAACTAAACATTTTGGAAGTTTTGTATGTATTTGTTACACTCCAAATGGAGGTTAGAAAATTGCAAATTGAGAGTTGCATCCAAAGAAGCGAAATATCATTTCATTATGATACACCAAAAGGGAGAGTACTCACGGTCAAATTATGTAAAATTGTGTATTTTCATGAAGATGGCCAATAATGGTATATTTCAGATGTGATTTTAGGTGGATTGTGGTGTATGTTAACTAATGTCAGTCTTTATTTTTAGAAACAATGAATGCCAATGTATTCATCAATCCTTGAATAATACAGAGCAACAGTCTTGCTGCTTGTGTGAAAGATTTTATAATGACTGATACTGCGATAGCCGCTCTGAAAATTTGGTCCTTTTAGGTCCTTTGCCCATAACTATACACTGTACAAAAACTGAGCTCTTAGATCTCTAAGTTCACGGGACAATGATTCTGGTTAAAAATTTACGTCGTGAATTTGATTGATGAGGATTATCGTATATTTGCAAAACGTGACCGTATGTTCCAAAATTGATTATCGTTATTGTGAAACAGTTATCGAGGATGAGTTTCATTTTGTTCTTATATGTCCTCTTTACTCTAAAATTAGGTAAAAATCATACCATACACGTTTATTGATAATCCTTCTTCTGAGTACATATAACAGGCTGTGGTCATGTGACACTACAAATGTCATAAGAAACTTGGCCATGTTTATAAATTACTCCTTTTTAAAAAGAAAAGACTTTCGGTCAGAGTTTTTGATTCATTGATTTTAAATTGGGTTTGTCATGTGAGGTTATGACGTCATGCTTATTGACAATGTAGGTACATGTATTTCTTATATTTCTTACATTTAATACAGATGCACAAATGCTGATTAGATGTTATACAGTATTAAGCATAATTGGTGTTATGACTTTGCCTATACTCATTACTTTATGCTTAACGAAAAGATGTGCTATGTGTATGAAGTACCGGGCATTATTATGTATTATAGCATAAAATCGGCTATTTTCCCCTCTTTTGCCCATGTTATAACGGGACCAAAACCATGTGTTAACATAGTCACGCGCTCTTGTTATAGCCCGGTTTTACCTATGCGTAATACATACAGGGTCCAGTAAACAAACAAAAAAATGACGATTTGGCCTTGTTTGCCAAAGAGCCATGCACTTTTGTTATATTGAAATTATTGATTCGAGGGCATCAATCGCATAAGTAACGGCGAGCAGCATTCAAGTAACTATGACGGAAATACGGCGTATATACATCGCTGCTAATCTTAGTTGTCGCCCTTTCTAAGAAACGGACCGTTGTCAATGTAAACAAACCACCCGAATAACTTACATAACAAGATAACACAAAATGAATATGAGAAAATGTTGTTTTTATTGATGTTTATATTGATAAATGCTCTTTATATTTCTTTGAAAGAATAATGTTTAGTGCCTGATTCTTTTTATAAACTTGTGTGCTTGAAAAAAAAACGATTTTGATGTCACTGATCTGTCAGAAATAATTCTAGGAATTTCTGAGGGTCATGTTTTGTCTTGGGTAGAGTAATTTAATGTGTATTTTTTCTTAAGTTAATAAATTTAATTAAAATTCAAAATTTTGTTCGGTTCTGAACATTTGTATTTCCCAAGATTTTGGCCCCGGAAAAATAAAACGCATACGTAAAACATGTAGAATTGGATAAATACCGTCCAAGCACAAGGATTTAATGTATATGTTTTGTATTTAATCGAAATCACGAATCTGTTTTAAAATATTATGCTATAATAGCGTCAACGCACGTTTATTTCGTGTTATAAAGTCTGCAGAGTCCCTCGGAACTGTTGGAGCCCTCGCCCTACCGGGCTCGGGCACCAACCGTTCCTCGGGACTCTGCAGACGTTATAACACGGAAAAACGTGCGTTAACCCTATAATAGTTGATGATGTGACTTTTTGCTGTAAGCAGTTAATATGCCAAATGAAGATGTGTTTTGTGTATAAAGTAATATGTAAAAATGTGATATGTGTATTAACTTAATACTATTAAGGATAAACGTTATTGACGTTACAACATTAGACCAGATATTTCATAAAAATATATATATGATATTTCTTACATTCTATTGAAAATGCCAATTTTTATCATGCTAATTATGCATCATGAACTAAATGTTGACATTGATAATCCTTGATTTCATACTTAAATAATAATGTTGTATTATATTTGTGTATGGGCAGGATGCCTGATTATGCAATAATCTTTCAACAGATAAGAAGAAAAAAGGACTCGCTAACCTTGATTGTGAATTATCTGCCCTTTATATAAGCAAACTTTTCAAATTCAAAGGGGAGATAACTAAAAAACGAGGTCGGCGACCCGATAGCTTTCAGTGCTTTGATTTAGCTTCCTCACGACACAGGGGTCACTAAGGGTCACTGAACATGATGAAATAATTAGTTTATAAGGAATGTAATGTAAAAAGTCAAATGAGCCGTGTCACGACAAAACCAACATAATGGGTTTGCGACCAGCATGGATCCAGCATCCGCGCAGTCTGATCAGGATCCATGCTGTTCGCTTACAAACCCTATAACAAGTTAATAAATGATGGCGAAAAGCAGGATCCCGATCGACTGGCGGGGCGCGGCTGGTCTGGATCCCTGTTGTCGAACCCCTTATGTTTGGTTTTTTTGGACGCGGGTCAAATCTTGGGATTAAAGATTTGAACAATACAAGTGCGCGATTTTGTTCAGTTAAAGAAACCCTTTATTCGAAAGGTGGCCCCTTAAAAAAGTATTTGTAGCAGATTTAATAGTACCCCTCAAAAAAACGACAGGAAAGAATAGGGGGAAAAAAATTATCGGTTTAAACCATCGTGGTTCCGTTATTTTGAATTGTCGTATTTTCGTGTTTTCGTTGTTTCAAGCTATGTGTGTGTCGCGATGGCCCTAACGGGACACCGTATTCAAGACATTGTGTTCTTTTGTCGTTTGAATATATTCAATTTTACATAGAACGGAATCATTGTTTTCACTTTTTCTCTGGCCTAAAACTTTTGCTGACAGAAGCAAAACCTTTTCCTCATTTTGCTTCTAGATTTTGCCCTACTTCTATTCAGACAAAATATATATACTCTTGAGATTATAAAGTAAGTCATGGTGGTCATTTTTGAACTATTTATAGAAAAATGACATGATATTAATTAGAGTAAATAATCGAATGGTCAGTAATACTTGTCTGATGTTTATTTTAAAGTTGTATGGTATCAAGAAGTTACACATATTTGATTACTTAATGCGATAAATCTTTAATGTAAAGATAATTTAAAATCAACACCAGGATGTGGACTAATGTAAAACACCAAAATTTTGAGAAGTGGGCGGGTTTTGAGTAAATAAATTGAAGCGACAAATGGCTGAAAAATATATTTATCAAAAGAAATCAGAAATATGCGGGTCAACAAGTTCAACCTTTACAATATTTTAATTGCATTTTACATGTACAAGCTTGACCCTTACAAAATCCTCGGTTACCATGAACGGTTTACATTATCTAACGTAAAAGGCCGGACACGAGCCTCGCCTCTAAAGCCTGTGACACAGATACTGGATAAAATTACACGGACTTTTGCACTGGTTAGATATTAGCATGGACCAGAGAGCTTCGGGTGTTTCAAGGCCCGTTCATTGGTGCGCCGTTTCAGTTTTTTCCCGAAGGTGAGTACAAATTTTTCTAGTTTGGTTTATGTCGACATCGAACAGTTTATTTCGCACGGTTTCGTAACGGGATTGTGTTTTTTTTAGCCAGCGGTCAAGATAGCAAACCAAAAAGAAATGTATCATCTGCTGTGCGCATGCTAGATGAAAGTTTGGACATTACCTCTATGCTCATTTGCATACACTCTGGCCTCTTTAAATAGTAAAGAGGGGAAATCAATGGATATGAAAAGATCGAACTTTACGTTAAAGGCACATTATGCCTCAGAAATCCATATTATTTAATAGAAATATTAATTGTGTGTTTAAGAATGTTTTAATAATGGATTTAAAGCATCTTACATGTTTAACAACTGAAGAAAGTAGTACTGAAAGTGCAGTTATATGTTATAAAGGTAGCAAAATGTAAACAAACTAGTAATTTGACTTCCATACAAAATACTCATTACTATGATCATTGCCAACAGAGCAAAAGAAGTAAAATATAGTTATCTATGCGGCAAATAGGTATTAATGCCTATAGTGTAATATATTATTTATATACTAGGTAGATTATATTAAGAGGTAATATCGCGCAGTATAAATGGTTATATAGCAAACATAACTCGGCCATATAACCTGTCAAACGTCTTTATAAGGTTATATGATCCAGTATTAACATAATATAACCAAAATCGTTATTAAAGGGACTCCACTGAGGTGTTTTGACAAGATGCGACTAAATTATTTTCCGAGTTTTATGTTCCTAGACCAATAATTTGTGTGTAAATGTTCAGTTCATTCGCTGGTTCGTTTTTCAAGAATAGTTTTTTTACAGTATATACCACCATATTTCTATTGCGCCACTTAACATATTTTGACCTCTTTTTTTGGTAATTTAAATGGATTGTAAGTGCCGTTAGCAATATTAAGATTTTTTTGTTCACTTCAGAATTTTTGTTTTCTTTTAATATATTTTCAAAATTTTCACGAAAATTAACTTGAATCTGAAGGTATGCTACTTTTCTCAGAACGTGTCAATCTCGTTGATTTTGTTTACTTGTACAAGTGTTTTGATGATTTTATTATCGTTTTTCATGTTGTTCATTTATTTATAGTCATTTTCCAAAAATTACAACCGGATGAATAATTTAAATGAAACTTTAATACATCAGCATTTGTGTACTGACAGGTACTAAGTCCACCATCGAAATAATGTCAAGGCTATCAGCGTATAATGACGTTACTTGTAACATAAAAATAAACACTGAATTTTTGTTTCGTAACTATGCATGGATAGCAAGATTTCAATATATATAAATATTAAAAGCGGTTATCACTTGTTTACCGCTTCACATAGGTAACTAAAAATCACTTAAGAAGTATTTGTTTCAAAAATTTTTGTTTCATGTGAAATTAAGGAAAAGAGTATTTTTATAGATGATTTATTTCATCAAATACTTAATTTGTTACAAAATTGCTATCCAGTTTTGCCATTTATACTATAAACATAACTGTTGTAAGTGACCACCATGCAATAAAGAACATGCCTTTTTACCTCCAATAGATGACTCTTCAAATAGCTTTATTCTACGTACCAATTATCTTTATTCTACGTAACTTCACGTCTTATATTTAATTTCAGCTCTCTGCAAAGATGCGCATAGAGAAATGGATGATTTTAACAATAATTTTCACCATGTACTCCTTCAATGCAGTTCTAGCTAACTGGGACAGGGTATGCTCTCCATTTACGAAGAGTTTTGGGCCTCATCCCCACGGCATCTGTGGCAGCCGAATTGACGAGACCTTAGATTTACTTTGTGTTGGAGGATATAATGAATACCCTAGTTATGGTGGATTTAGAAAGAAACGAGACATAGCGGAAGGTAAATGAAGCTCTATCCTCCATTTTAAGAGTTTTTATCGAAACCGGAAGTGAAAATAATTCACTTTTCAATACAAATAGTCATGTAAAATAAACATAAATATATGTTCTCTTACACATATATCAATAAAGGTTGCTTTGAACTTTTGAAGAAAGAAAATGTCATGAAAGCTAGCTTATTACAAGCAAAATAGAAAAAGAAACTGGATTGTCCTATTATATACTTGGACTACGTTTTTAGGCGAATGACAAATTCATGCATACATTGTTACGCGGTTTAAAGGCGGGATTTTTTTTCGGTCATCTATAAATAGAATTTTAAAAATAAAAATATTTATAAGTGTATCTTGATATTTATCATATCATTAAGAATATGATGATAGTGGGTTTGCAAGTGTAAACGTTTGCAGAAAGGCAGGTCAAGGTACTGTCGTTGATACAGATTTTGACATAAATTCTGGTCAACGTTCGAGAGATAAGTAACTGCCCCTGAACTAGGTTTGTGACATCAAAATGAAGTTGTCCGATTCATTTACACAACTGTTTAAAATTTTCGGTTGCCAAATTTCATTTTCATCTGTTCCTACTTAGAAATAACGCAAATTGACTAAGAAATGTCTCACAATATCTGAACTAAGTTTGCCCAAGTTGAGCTCTTTAGCTTACCTGAGCACCACGACAATGTATTTAAGATGAGCTGTTGCTATTGCTCTGTGACCGTCGAGCGTCGTTATTTAAATGACGTAAAACATTTATTTTAAAAAAATCACCTCCATCTAAAGCACGTTGCGATCAAGTTTTGCGGGAATGATCCCTCTGTGGTCTTCTGTCATGTTTTGTTTAAAACAAATTCCATTTAAAAATCCGGATAGCATTATCATAGGTTTTCCTTATATGAGCCGTGTCCCGACAAAACCAACTTGCAAACCCTATAGCAACTAGAGAACTGATAGCGAACAGCATGGATCCTGATCAGTCTGCGCGGATGCGGTCGCAAACCCATTATATTGGTTTTGTCGTGACGCGGCTCATATGTATATAGCAAACACTTATCTGAAACTGCAAAGAAATGGGTCATGAAAAATATTAGACCTATACCAAGATCTTCACACAAGATAGCCCGAAGGTAAAAAAATGGCAATAATATAGAATAACAAAAAACGGCCCTACGTCTTAGGGTCATTGGTCTTTTATAATTATGTACATAACTATATCGAAAAACTCAAAAAGAAACAGAGAAGACTAGAGCTTAAATAGCTCTTCCATGTTTAATTTACATATAGTTAAAACTTAAAATTATCTTCTCTTCTGAAATCAAGAATGCTAGAGCTTTTTGGACATGGATTGTCTAGTTGACCTCTTCTAAGTTTGGTTAAATTATAGCCTTGGGTCAAAATTGGCATGCACAAAGTTTGGGTATTAGGTTTCTTTATATACAGTTTGTAAGAACTTAACAATTCCTCTCCTCTAAAACCTAGGAGGCTATATTTGGATTGAATCTAAAGGACCTCAGTTTTTTCAAATCACGGGTATTGTGTTAAAGTTGGCCTCTGCACTTGTTGCCATCGTTTTTTTCTTTCATGTGAAGAGAACATTTTGTAAAAAAAAAAAATAAAAAAAAATACTTTTTTATTGTCTTGAATTGCTCAGCCTTGACATTTTGACTATATAATCAATATAACACGTTGGTGAAATTTGGTAACAGTTAACATTAATTATGACCCAATGATCTATTTTCACATTGAGACATACACTTAAAATGTGACTTGCTTGTCCAATATCAAACCAGTTTTGAATATTGATACCAGTTGACCTAGATAATTTGCCTAATATCACTCATTTAATTAAATCTATCAATCCCAAATTGTCCCTTGTCAATTTCTTTAAGTCAGGTGAGTGATATAGGGCATCCATGGCCCTCTTGTTTAAAGATTGTGCCTTCTTGTCAATGTGCATTACGAGTTTGCATAGATGATTGATAAATAACGCAATGATATTTTCACCGCCTTTGTATTTGAATAAACGCTAAATACCTTAGCGTTTCAAACCGTGGAGCATGGTTATAAATAAATATCCCGTGCATTTATAAAAGATAGTCCACGTATGGTTTTAGAAGTGAAATACAAAATGAAAGTTAAAAAAAAAAGTTGATACATTTACATGTATAATTAAAATCGTGCATACTTAGCGAATTGATACAGGCGAAACTTTATGCAGTCAATCAAAAGAGTGTCTTACGGCATTGTTGATCGGGGTGCTCTTTTAGTGTGTCACAGTGAACAGACATAATCTTATTCTTCAGTCAGTATGTACATATACAGCTTCTTTATCATTATAATTTAAATTTTATTTTCAGGTCACGCTAGAGACCTTCATGGGATTTTAATTAAAAGAAAGGAAGCTAATTCATATTTGGTCAAAAGATCGAACTTCTATGAGCGTGGAGTTGTGTGCGAGTGCTGTTATCACCGCTGTTCTGTGTTTGAACTATTTTCATACTGTAGAGGGGAACCAAGTTTTCTAGGATTATTTAAAAGAAGTGTGCGAGACCAGGAACCAAAATTTCGTCATGATCACTCTAACGATTAATTTCGAGATAAAAAAATCTATGGAGTAAGACGTTTGAAAATACTAGTCACTTGCAAAGGATTGAAATGTAAACAGTTCAATAATAATAATGCATAGACAATAACACGTGTTTAATAGTCATAATACATGCGACTCGTCTGTATTTTCTTTAATTCGGTACTCTGTTAATACTTATGAAAAGTAATAACAAAAATGTGTAATAGTTGACTAAATTAGAGCAAGAAGAAGATTATCAGAACATCTTTGAAATAATTTTGATTTTTTTTTTAAATTTTTATTTCTATTTTCCAGTGTTCACCAAATTAATTAACATTGTATTCCTATACAAACTAAGCTATATTGACTCAGTGATAGAGAATATCTTTAACACGTTTCATATAAGGAATATAGCTTTTATTGTGAAAATATTTGACAATTAAATAGTCCGTCGCAACGTGACCTTACCGTAAATAATTGATTTCAAAATTCTGGGGTAGTTCAATAATAAAACAGTTTATAAAACAAGTTTAACTTTTAACTTAATATTTAACTTTTTTTTGCAAGTGAACTTTGTGTATTAGGTTAGATGAATGTTACCTTAGGATATTAATTATATTATTTTGATCTCAGACATTTACAATTTAAGAAATTTACTTTAAGACATTTACCGATAAAACATTTACCCATGCTATACTTTTACTTTATACATGTATAATAACAAGTAATGTTTCAAATTTCCGTCATTAATGTTTATCAGTATAAATGTTCCCAATTTTATTGTTTATTTGAGAAAGAAAAGTGAAATTAGTGATAATTACCCTTTTCAAGTGAAATATCTTAAATGCACTTGTTCATCTTTCAGTCTGGACAAACCATTTGAGCAGCGTCACGACAAAACCAACATAGTGCGTTTGTGACCAGCATGGATCCAGACCAGCCTGCGCATCCGCGCAATCTGATCAGGATCCATGCTGTTCGCTATCAGTTTCTTTACTTGTAATAGAGTTGGTAAGCGAACAGCTGGTCGCAAAGCACTATGTTGGTTTTGTCGTGACGCGGCTTATTTATCATGCTATAATGTTAAAAATATTTGAGGAAAGAGTATCGAACAATGCAGATCATGTTCAGATGGCACGGATGCGCCGGCTGATCATGGTCAACACTGGTCGCATGAATAAAGTCCGTTGCAGCCATAAGGCTAAGGGTTAATTTTTATGATATTATACAGTCAAACAAATCTTTTATTCTTCGTTTGTTATTATTATTCTACGATTAAACTAGTTGAAACCTCTGTTATGTACCAGACTTCCCACATAATTACTAGTATGTTTTCCCTAAAATTATGTTTAAAGTGAATTGGTCTAAAATGGAAGGTCTGTAATACAATAAATAATTACATTCAAAGTATTTAGTAACAAACCACGAATAATTCATAAATGGAAGTTGTTGGCAAACCCGATATTACATAGTTACATTGTACATGTTTATTTATTAAGCAGATAATACATTGCTCTCGAACAAAATATTATTATTCATCATAAAAATGTTCATACTTAATCACTTAGAACTTTATCAACATTGTTTTCTTTCAAACACTATTTTATAAGAATATCCAAATGATACATTTCTATAGTTTTTTTTATCAAAACTGTGCCGGTTATAAGCCAATTCACTTTTAAGGAACTCCGCTAAGGTCCAAAAAGCTCAGAAACAATAAACTTGAAAATCTTACATAAATAAATTGAGCTCTTTAAACGGTAACATATAAAAATGATAATCTGCTGAGAAATAGCCTGGTTAAATAATTTCAAATCTTCTCTTTATTTGCTGTATAAAAAGATAAATAAAGGGCCACAACTGCATAAAACTATTCAGAAGGGGACATAAACATAGCCTGCATAACCTTGCTTTGTAGAGATGCGTCCACTGAAGTTTCAATGTATTACATGAAGTTATTGCTGAGAAATAACAATGATAAACAGTTTGAAATTATCCTATATAATAATGCTATCTATAATAAATAAAGGGAGGTAATTTCCTGACAATAATAAAGCTAACGAACAAACACAATGACCGAATGCTTAATGCTTCGGACTAGTAATTTGCTGGCCGCGTGGGTTCATACCCCTTCAAGGGCAAGACGTTGTTTCCTTGAACAAGGAACTATACACTCATTGCTTAGTACTGATTGGATTCAGGAACGGATTCCACAGTGTCTATAAGCTTAAAGTATCCTTCTAAATATATTTGATTCAAGAGAAATTACATCGGACGTATGAAATAGTCACTACATGCATTAGGAGTAAGAAAAATTATACCATATACTACGAAAGACCGGTGGGGACATTTCAACTGCATGAATTTCAGATTTGATCTTCGTGAATTCACAATTTTAATTTCGATTTCAACATACGGAGTTCACGAATTCAGGATTTCAGCCTCATGAAGTTGAAATCGTGAATTCATCAGGTTGAAATTGTGAATTCACGAAGATGAAATAAGGATTTCGTGAAGTTGAAATGCCCCTACCGGTCTTTCGTCACATACTTATGAGTCAAGTTCCAGTATAATATATTATGAATTCGTTTAACAATGCTACAAAGGAGAAGAAAAACTATCAGTATATGATTTTCATAGCATTTTATTAAAACTCAACAATATAGAAAAATATTCGTAATATATATGCATCTATCAAGATATAGGTAAATGAGTAATAATTGTTTTATCAAATGATATTTCAAATTCAGTAAAAAATGTAATAAAGAGTTCCACGAACGTAAATAGAAGCACGGAACGTTGTTTTATTTCTCTGTCCCTTGGAAACAATACCATTCCACTGTTTTAATGTCTATTTAAGTCACATAGAAATTGTATCAAAATTCATATAATATCATGTAGTGAGCAAGAAAACGCAACTGCAAACACTATAATTGAATTTTGCATACTCATATATAGTAGTCGAATTCAATGTTTATTTCTTAAAGTGGACGAACAGACCACCGATAGCTTCACAGCACGGTTCCATGCAGCAGCTTAAACATGTCTTCGTGACCTTTGTAAACACAGAACAGTTGATCTCGCAAATTCTCAATAGTGGCGTGATGTACCAAATATGGTAGAAAGCAATGGCGGCAAATTCGCATCCCCACTCGGCAGCAATACAGATCCCGTAGAAGAGGGTCAAGAGTTTGTAGCAAAGACCAAGCCAGAGGTTGAAGCAGGTGTAGGATAATTTCCAGACACAGTCGATACTGTGGGCCCCCTCGGGTTCTGCTAGAACATCTTCAAACTGGACCTGTAATATGAATAATACAAATATATAATAGCAAATCAAGCAGGTGTTCATGTCCACAAATATCTTGTTATATTGTAATTAAAAAAATATATGATTGTAGATTGCAGTGTGGCCAATATAATGCATATTAAAATGTATTGTGTGTACTGTTGCTTTTGTTTAAGAAATTGTTCATTTTGTGTATTTACATGAACTACATAATTATGTATAATTATGTATGTACAACTATGCTAAAACTTAAAGAGTAAAGTGCACGTTGTTACATCTTATATCTATAACAATCTAATGGTATATATATTTTCCAAATAGCCCACTTTAAAAATTAAAACAATATTCAATAATATTTACATGCAAATTGTTATTATTTATCTTAAAGTGCTATAATTGTCATTGAGATACTGTACGTATATTATACTTTGAAAAAAACCTGATAAATAAGATTAACAGTGAATTTGTTTTATTTTACATAATCTGTTAATATGAATGTTACCTAAACATTATATAGCGTTTAAAATTTATGCAATCATTCATACATTGTGTTCACCATATTTCAAACTGAGACTCATTTTTAATTCATATATGATCCACAAGTGTATAAAGTTATAATTATGTCTGCTGCAAAAATTATCATTTGAATGATTAACAAGAATACTTCCAAAATACATGTAAGACATAATATTACGTATGTTTTTATAATTTAGAGAGAAAGACGCATGAAGGATATCACTGCTAAACAGTTATAAAACCCTACTTAAAATAGCAACATAATAGTTTGTTCCGGAAGTTTTTATTCTGTTTACATATAATAATGTATGTTTGATAACAATGACATTCTATGGTACAACTTTTTACAAGAACTGACCGTAAGATTATGGAAACAAATTTACTGTTTTAAAATTCTATAAAAAAAATCCAGTAAATATGCATGCAGCTTTATATCCTTTTAAATAATGGTTAAAGATTGCAACATGCATACTCAACACTTAAAGATAAGAAAATATACTTAAAAAATAATTCCGAATAAAACAGTTATAAATACAGAAATGTTTACGAAAAAACACTTACCTTGATGTGGTCATTAAGACCATTTGGATCTCTGTTTACAAGATCAACTGACATCTTGACAGTGCTTTACAAAGTTTAGGTCGAGAAAGAAATGCAATGCTCTAGATCCGAAGGACGTTTGATGTCCACAAATGGTTCTGTACGCGTATTTATACTATACATGAAGTGGACTTTTGATCCGTTGCTAAGAATATCATAACGGGAATCAACTTGTCAAAGTTATAATGACAAAGATTGTCTTTTCATTTATCACTAATCAAGCTGGACAATGTAAATACTATAGAGCTTTAAAAAAAACTTTGTCGGTATTACATTGATTTATTAAAAGTTGTCACCGTATAGATTGTGGTATTTTTCACACTCGTTTCATGTCACGTCGCGTTTTGCGTAAAATATTTTCTTTTTACAAATTGTTTTAATCATCATGAAACAGTGACACATTCAACATGGGATAAACAAATGAATGAATGAAATATCAACATTTGATCAGTATTATAACTTTAATCATTAATTATTTTAACATATTAAGATTATAGAGAAAATCTTATATATACAATATGCGTTTTCAAATACTAAATTACTAGCTAACGTATATCATATTTTACTAACATAATATTGCTAAGTTCTCGCAATAATTAAAGCTCCTATTTATTACTAAAATGGTACTATATTCAGTGATTTATATAACACTGTCTTACAGTATCTTGTAAGTTGTAATTGACAATAACAATGACTCCCCCCCCCACCCCCACCCCCCCCCCCCCCAAAAAAAAAAAATTAAAAAATACTCGCTTACATACACATTTTTATATATATTGTACATAACATGAGTTATGCTTAATTCTACACATACACATACTTTTTGAACATCTTAACATCATATATCAGGATGGTAAAACACTTAATTATAACTGAATAAGAAATCATCTAAACATATTTTATGTTTTCTTATACATAGCATAATAACGTAGCAACTGATTTTATGATATTTGCGTAAATTGCTGACTCAATAATATTGAACTTTTTAATAGATGGTATGGTAAAATCAATATATTAATTGTACATAATATGAGATACGTTAATAAGAAAATCATACACATCATTTCGAACATCTTTGCATCATATATTATTACCTCACGCTATTTTTGCATGAGCTGAAAATATATATATGGACTATATTGAATTACACTCATATCATGTTCATTAAACTTTGTGTATATTTAGTTTTGTAGGGAACTGAATCTTTACAAATGAAAATTTGGTAACTATCATAATTATGCTGCAATAAAATTTAATGCATCTTTGTTTTATTATATCATTTATTTGTTCATCTTTAGCTTGGAGCAGGGATCCCTTGTTTGAGCATAATTATGTAGTTATATATTATATTACATGTATTAACCCATTACTTCATATACACGCCTTTTAACGCCTTTTTCATCCCTCCCCCCTTTTGTTGTCTCAAATGATGAAAAAATGCCTTATTTAGGCCCCAAATACTTGTTTTTGTTTGAGAAATGTTGTTAAAAAAAGTGACCTCTTTTTCGGCGCGGCCCCCCAACCAATAGATACATCAGGGGGTTGCCAGAAGGGGGATGTGCCCCCTTCTGTTTGGGGGGTTTGAAGGGGGGCGGCACTCCCCCTCATCGCCAAGAAAATTTTGGACTTGTGAGAAGCTGTAAATGACCCCAGATTGATCATAAGGTAACGTGTAACCAACGCTGAAAAGCATTTGACTCTATCTCAATCCATTGAGAAGTTGCAGCACTTTGAAATCAATTTTGATGGAAAAAATCAACGCAAAATAGTGATTTTTGGCAATTTTGAGATGTCCCCTCGTTGCCATGGTAACAGAAAATTTAAGCCTGAGCATGTTGTTGCAAAGGCAATGGTCCAGTCAACATTTGTGCCAAGTTTGATTAGTGTTGAAGCAGTTTTTTTAGTATTATAGCAATTTGAACTTGTAACGGGAGACTTTTCAATGAAAACAGCCATTTTTCACAAAATGCTCATGAAGTAATGGGTTAATGAAAAAAATAAAAAAATCTACAAAACAAGAATTTTTCTTCAAATTTATATGACAGGCCATGTTTAAACATGAAAAAATGCGATTTAGGGTAATTTCAAGTATTTTCATCATTTTCTGTTAACCCATTACTTCATATACACGCCTTTTAACGCCTTTTTCATCCCCCCCCCTTTTGTTGTCTCAAATGATGAAAAAATGCCTTATTTAGGCCCCAAATAACTTGTTTTTGTTTTGAGAAATGTTGTTAAAATAAGTGACCTCTTTTTCGGCGCGGCCCCCCAACCAAAAGATACATCAGGGGGTTACCAGAAGGGGGATGTGCCCCTTCTGTTTGGGGGGTTTGAAGGGGGCGGCAGTCCCCCTCATCGCCAAGAAAATTTTGGACTTGTGAGAGGCTGTAAATGACCCCAGATTGATCATAAGGTAACGTGTAACCAACGCTGAAAAGCATTGACTTCTATCTCAATCCATTGAGAAGTTGCAGCACTTTGAAATCAATTTTGATGGAAAAAATCAACGCAAAATAGTGATTTTTGGCAATTTTGAGATGTCCCCTCGTTGCCATGGTAACAGAAAATTTAAGCCTGAGCATGTTGTTGCAAAGGCAATGGTCCAGTCAACATTTGTGCCAAGTTTGATTAGTGTTGAAGCAGTTTTTTAGTATTATAGCAATTTGAACTTGTAACGGGAGACTTTTCAATGAAAACAGCCATTTTTCACAAAATGCTCATGAAGTAATGGGTTAAGATTCCTTGTTTGAAAAGGTGCTTATTTTCCCACTTGATTTATAAGAGGCCTTAGCCTTTTGAGTTTGAGAAGAATTTTAGCTAAAATTGCTAATTAGGGAAGTAAAAAGGCTGATGTAAGTTTAGATACTTGGGAAAACTATATATATACAAAATTTAAAGAAAATATTCTTTAGAAATTTAAGAGGCCTTCTATATATACAGGTTATCTGTTATATACGGTGAAAAATTACTAGAACATTTCAATGAAATATTTTTTAATGAATATAAATAAATAAAATATTTCACTGTGTTTCACCTATACTCTAATTTCCTTAATTTGTTCTCTTTTTTTACCGTTTAACTATACCGTACATTTCAGTACGGGATTCTTAAAAGAACGGGATATAGACAATCGCGAAGCGAGAACAAGTAAACTTAAACTATGAAAATAAAGATTTTGACTTTAAATTGCTGGTAAATATATAAAATAGTTGAAAGTTATACATTGCATTTAATTTTGCATCATTTTATCAGCAATGTCTTGATAAGGTCAAGCTGATTATGACGTGTTATCTGGTATTATCGGTGTAGTAGTGTCCGGATATGTTTGGAATTCGGATACAATTGAAATAACAATATTTTTTTTTAATGTTACTGATGTCATTTTTAATTTCAACTTTATCATCATACCAGACAGTACTGTTTAAAAGCACTAGATAATGCTTTTTATGCACAAATAATCGCCAGGTTATTGAGGTAAACAGACCTCAATTACCTGGCGATTAATTGATTCATTTTCAATGTTTAATTTATTTGTTATGACATTAATTTTTGGGAAGTCCCTAGCTGTACAGGCACATACTAATAGCTAAAAGACCTAGCAATAAGTGAGTCTTATGAAAATTGACTTTTCATTGGTCTATGGAAAGCCATTATGATTGGTTGACGTCTGCATTTTTTAACAAAAATTCATTTTAGATCTACATGTAGTGAAATCATGTCTTTGATTGAAATTAAAGCTGTGGTTGAAATAAACACATTATTTAATTTCATAAATGCTGACTAAAAAGCACTTACCTACAATAATACGTAAAGATATAGTAAAAAAACTTATTTTTATAAAGTTAAACACTGTACTGATATATTTTCAGGGGAGTCCCAGTACCATTTGTTTGTAAGAATAGGAAAGAGAGGTTTGTGGCTATAGGAGAGGAGGTGGGAAGATCATCATATGACATAGTAGCTTTTCAAGAGGTATACTTATATAATGCACATACCCTCAGATAGTATTTTAGCATTATTTGTTAACATACAGGAAAGTATTTGAGGTTTTATGTGTATGTATTATAGTATGTTGTTGTCTGTGATAATGTAATGATTCACCACAATAAAGATTCGCCACATAACTTATTTACTGTGGTGAATTGTTATAATTCTATGGCAAATTGTTATATGGCAAGTGTTACTGTGACAAATTGTTTCTTATTTTTGTCTGAGTGTCATTACACAAGTTATTAAATTTTGACAGATTTCATTGGCATTTTTCATATTTGATATGCAAGTATGGTATATCCTAACACAGTTCCAGTGAAATTTCATAATAGTCATCTGCATGCTTTAACAAGCACTTTATGACTTATGTACTTTGTAAGATTACTAAGCTTTCCTGTGATGTTGCATTAGGGAACTGGCACTTTAAAGGTAACATTTAAAAGTTATTGTGCTTTTTGTTTCTAATGTTTTTTCAGGGTTATCACTAGCCATGAAATCCTGAGGGTCATTTTGACTACATTTTACTGACTACAATGCCAAATCCCCATGATTTTAACAAAATTTGACCCTCCAGTTAAAATCCTGAGTGTCAAATCAGGCCTTTTTGAAATTTGAAGGGTCAAAGAGTCATTTCAAGGGTCAAACGGACACCCTGGTTTTTTGTTTTTTTTAAAGCATTGTCATTTAGAACTTTGGTAATTCTTTCAGGTATGGCACAAAGGTGACTTTGAGATACTGAAAAGAAATATAGGAAACACTTTACCATATAGTCATTATTTCTACAGGTAAATATTTAATAACTGTTTATAAACCTTTAGCTTGATGAAATTGTGTTATGAACCTGCCTTGCTTTAAATTTGGAATAGTTTATTCTAGTTAAAATGAAATTCAATATCAAAATATAAAAATTCAGCTGGTCAATTCCCGAGCTTGTCTGGATCAATACTGGCAGAAAAGGTTGGTCACTTTTGGTTCAGGTTACAGCAGGTTACGGGTTTAAAGTTTTATATGAGGGCCTGTTATTCAGCAATCAAATATAATCCATTCAAATAACTGGGAAAAGCTGAAAATATTACTGCACATTAAATAGTATAATCTTTAAGTATGTATATATGAGTGACATTTAAGGGGATGTAAAAGTAACAAAAACTATTCTCATAACTAATCTATACAATAAATTATAGTAAAAAAGTTTGAGGTTATTTTATTAAATAAGATAAAACATACATTTGTAATCTATAAAAGTCCATGAACAGCTGCTGTCAGCTACTCAACTAAAATACTGTTAGATTTAAAAATATTCTTGCAAAAAAGAAAATTTAAACTGGATCAGAGAATTCTCTTAATTTTTTAGCTCGACTATTCGATAAGAATAAGTAGAGCTATTGTAGTCACCCGAGCGTCGGCGTAACCACTTATGTTAAAGTTTTTGTAATAGTTCAAATATTTTCAAAGTCCATTGACATATGGCTTTGAAACTTTGCACACTTGTTCACCAGCATTACCCCAACCTGTAGACAGGAGGAGGTAACTGTATCAGGCATTTTGACAGAATTATGCCCCTTTTTCGACTTAGAATTTACGTTAAAGTTTTTGTAATAGTTCAAATATTTTCAAAGTCCATTGACATATGGCTTTGAAACTTTGCACACTTGTTCACCATCATTACCCCAACCTGTAAATAGGAGGAGGTAACTGTATCAAGCATTTTGACAGAATTATGCCCCTTTTTCGACTTAGAATTTACGTTAAAGTTTTTGTAATAGTTCAAATATTTTCAAAGTCCATTGACATATGGCTTTGAAACTTTGCACACTTGTTCACCATCATTACCCCAACCTGTATACAGGAGGAGGTAACTGTATCAAGCATTTTGACAGAATTATGCCCCTTTTTCGACTTAGAATTTACGTTAAAGTTTTTGTCATAGTTCAAATATTTTCAAAGTCCATTGACATATGGCTTTGAAACTTTGCACACTTGTTCATCATCATTCCCCCAACCAGTAGACAGGAAGAGGTAACTTTATCAAGCATTTTGACATAATTATGTCCCCTTTTCCACTTAGAATTTACGTTAAAGTTTTTGTAATAGTTCAAATATTTTCAAAGTCCATTGACATATGGCTTTGAAACTTTGCACACTTGTTCACCATCATTACCCCAACCTGTAAACAGGAGGAGGTAATTGTATCAAGCATTTTTTTTTACTATCAAGCACTAAGAATAGTCCAGCATTGCTGTCCTACCGACAGCTCTTGTTTCATAGATAAAGAGAATCATGATTGAAACAAATTGATGAAAAATCATTTGGTAGTCACCATCATACTTTTCAGTTATCTGCCTTATTTAAAATTTTCCATTTTTAGCTCGACTATTCGATAAGAATAAGTAGAGCTATTGCAGTCACCCGAGCGTCGGCGTCGGCGTAACCACTTATGTTAAAGTTTTTGTAATAGTTCAAATATTTTCAAAGTCCATTGACATATGGCTTTGAAACTTTGCACACTTGTTCACCATCATGACCCCAATCTGTAGACAGGAGGAGGTAACTCTATAAAGCATTTTGACAGAATTATGCCCCTTTTTCGACTTAGAATTTACGTTAAAGTTTTTGTAATAGTTCAAATATTTTCAAAGTCCATTGACATATGGCTTTGAAACTTTGCACACTTGTTCACCATGATGACCCCAACCTGTAGACAGGAGGAGGTAACTCTATCAAGCATTTTGACAGAATTATGCCCCTTTTTCGACTTAGAATTTACGTTAAAGTTTTTGTAATAGTTCAAATATTTTCAAAGTCCATTGACATATGGCTTTGAAACTTTGCACACTTGTTCACCATCATGACCCCAATCTGTAGACAGGAGGAGGTAACTCTATCAAGCATTTTGACAGAATTATGCCCCTTTTTATGCCCCCACAATGTGGGAGCATATAGCGTTGCACTTGTCCGTCTGTCCGTCCGTCCGTCCGTCCGCTCTTACAATTCCTGTTTATGTGTCTACATGCTAGTACAGGACAGCTTTATGTGACTTTCTGGATTTATGTGCCTAGCCACATAACCCCAATTTGTAATAGGTATAAAATGGTTCTATGTGTCTTTAGAAATGGTATAAGAAAAAAGACACATTATTTGACGGAAAAAAATGTCCGTCTAACCGGACATCCGTACTGTCCTTTTTCAGTGTTGTCTCCCTTTAATCGCTATTCGTCACGGTATATTTGCTTCTAGATGGTTCCGTGTAATATTGTAAGCGGAACAAAAATAGTAATTACAAGTGGGGAACCAATATACGAGCACCTGCCAGATAATCGCGCATGCGCTGAAAGTTCATCTGACCATGTGCGCAAGGTGAGTTAGTCAAATTACTTATGTGTTTAATATGTTTAATAACTTTATTATCTACGTCTATCGATTTTATTTTTATAAATAAGATACATAAAGAACGTGTCTTTTCTCTAATGATGTGTTGTTGCAGACATGAAAGTAATATGTTGCGTCCGTTGCGCCAAAAAATCTCCATTGCGTATTTTAGTGGTATGTAGACACATTTGTAAAATGGCGGACGTGTTGACTGACCTGATAGTGTTAATTTGTATTTTACTATTTTTAATCCTCTGCACACTGATTTTGATATTTGTTAAGATGGTATTAGTGATTAACTTGTGGACTAATCTGTTTCTGTCATGGTCACGGGATTTACAGTAAGGTAAAAGGTGTGTATTTGCAATTGATAATTTGTCTTCGTACCGGTTGTCTTCGTACTTATACAAACAATGCACCGTGTCTTCGTGCTTACAAATAATGCACCGGTATGCATTATGTACTTAGTCTGATGTTTGTTGTGAATTTGATTGACTCTTACTCATAATCTTATTGTATGTAAACATTTAATTTAGCGATTTTTATTTTTAGATGATTGAAATTTTTAATGAGTTTTTTTTTTTACAAATTTTCTACTTTGAACACAAATTCAGGGTATAACTGAATACTGAAAGCAACATTTACCAGACACTACTGGAAACAAATTAAATGTTACCGAAAACTTATCATATTTCATTCATTTAGTTACTTTTATGCACTTCTTTTTAGCCCAAAGATATGTAAAATCCTGTGTTATTTCTACAGCTAATGGATACGTTTATATATATATCTACCTGTGTAAATTTATCCGATTTTTTTTTAAATCAGTTATTAAGTAATTTCTTAATAAGTTCATTGTTTGCAATCTTAATACTTATTCATTAAATTATCCATGGTTTATTTATAAATTTAAATGGTAAATGAAACTGTGTTATTGATTTTTTTCTTCCCTTGTGTACACCAGCGTCTGGTAATTTTCCATGACGTGTGTATGACCTTTACACCTTAAGACTACATGTGTTAATCACCTAACATGATGTTTATCAGTTAAAAATTAATTGAAATCAAAAGGTTCCAATATCTTTATTTTGGAGAAATTAAGCTTGCAGCTGTGAAAACATCATTGCTCATTTCATGGATTTAATTGGATTATGATTAGAGATAAGTGTCTATATTTTTTGTTATTGAAAGGAAATGCTCGCTGTGAATACACTCTAGAATAAGATTAACTAGACACCAACATCAATGATAATGTAGTGATATCTTTCATTTAATTTTCAGTACTATGGATATCCATTTGTTCTGGTGTAGATTACCTGGGTTACCTAGAAAAATGAAATGGCCAGTAAAAGTGAAAGAATGGCATGATGACAAAGCACTTGTCTACTGTAGGTCTGATGATGCATTGTAAGTTTTTTTCATTATTCTTCAATTAATGATTATGTATTCATCTTTCTAGTAAGCTATCACATATATTAAACCTACTCTTTCAACTTGCTTTTCACAATTATTAACTGATGGCACATATCACATTCAACTTGATATATGAAGATGAGGAGTCAGAGCCTTGATAACGTTACCGTCTGCATGTAGCATTTTTTTTACATGGAAGTATTTTTGTTTCAGTTCCAACACACTTGTGAATATTATTCGTAATTTATTTGTAGCTTTAGTATTACGAGGGATCATATGGTATCTTTTCCTGGGCCATTTGAAACATTACAAAACATAGGCATTGGTATAGTACCAGTTGTTAGCTACAGTACGCACATCGCATAACTTCCCAACGCACACCCTACCCCGCGATTTTGCTCAAGCGTGTTCACCATATTTTGAACCCCCAAGAAAGGGTTTTCACGGTGATAAGCGGCCTCGAACATGGTGGTCACGGACACGATGTGTTGAGGTGTTCATTCGCAGTGATTTCACTGTGTTCTTTTTCTGTAAAAATCAACTCACCTGCCATTCCAGTGTAATTAAAAAAAAATAATTAAAATCCATTTAAAAAACCTATTTTTAATGCTGCCCGATGGATCCGATTTTGACAAACATTGATTAAAAAAACGAAGACAAATACACACCACAAACTATTTTGACTCGCACTAAAATAATTGAACTAATAATAATCCGATGAAAATATTTTCTTCTTTTCACTTGATGTTTACGTGAGCAATTATTAAAGACATGTATAATCTTTTCTTCACAAAAATGATCGGCGAATGTCAAAGTTAGCAACCTCTTTGATTTCGGTTGAGTAAAGTCGCAGCGTCTAAACAATTCTTTTGAAGTGTCGGTTATAGGCACCTGTAAAAAGGTCAACTTGTCTATTTATTAGAATCTACATGAATTTATATTTTCAGTTGTGTTGTGCATACAATTTAACATTTTCATATATAATTTGCTTGGCACAAGTTTGATTAAATTAATATAAATTTATGCGAGTGTTTTAAAAATTGTGCATTTTAGCAGTATGGAATTCAGACAATCTTGAGGGATAACTCATTTATTTTATTGTTAATAACTATGTAGACTGTCAAAAGTTGATGGATTAAATCTTTATAAATCAGAAAGGTAATTTTAATACCCATTTATATCAAATTCTGAAGACTATTTTGTTTGTCCGCAACATATTTACACAAAAACGCGCATTCTCATGCATATTCGGGTAGCTGAATTAACCAGTTTTAGGGGATTTTCGAAAAATTATTTTACATGATCAGAGATCTGCCGAGGACGCGATTTTGCGCCATTGGCGCTAAAAAAATGAGAATGGCGCAGGAAAATCGGCAGCAAAGGGCCATGGGCGCATCTAAAATCTGTGCCAGACTTATAAGAAAACAAAACTGTCTGCTTGGTTTATTAGTCATCCAGTCAAAACTGGTACCAACAGCAACATGTTACCCATGCTCCTGTAATTACGCATATTCTTGAGTTTATCCATTCCCCTATAGCTTTTGTCCATGTTATCTACTTACCGCATTTCTTCTCATAATCCCTTTCCCACACAGATACTCATTTCTACAACCGTAACTTTAATCCAATAAAACAAACAAACAAATTATACAACTACTTAATATTTAAAATGAGTATCGGTAACTGAAAAAAAGTGTTGCTATTTTAAGAAATGCTGTAAGTTACAGTATAATCTGACAGGTGTTCAACTTGATCAACCCTAAGGTCACTCAAGTTCACGCAAGTTGCGGCTGATGAAGTGTAAAAAAAAGATGTATATTTCGTCATCAGAATGTTTGACAGGGTGATTCAAACCAATCAGAGAAACATTGTGCATGACTTTTTTCATGATCAAAAGGTCTGTCGGCAAATGTCTTTGATGTATGCTGTCTACACAGAGGCATACAAGGGGCAATAAAATTCGTCAATATACATTGGTAAGGGACATTTTGTGCAAAGTAGGAACAATTAAATGGATAATGCACAATATAAGACATTACAAGTAAGAACCAGCAATTATGTGAATAAATTTGCATATCAAATTTTTGAGCAGCCATTAAAAAATATTTTCATTTTTGCCTGCAATTAATATTAGTTAGAAAGTTACCATGTAGGCATAATTTTTAATTATTGGTAAAGTACTGAATTATAAGTGAACCACTTGTCATAAAATATGATTTAAGTTTTATTACCGGGGAAATTCAATTACATGTATCTACAAACTTTTTAACAGTTATTTTGGTCAATGTTTACTTATTTTCCCAAGGCCTATACTTTGGTAAAAATGGCCCATCATTTTCAGACCAAGTGGGCCCAGGGCCCAGTTCTTTCAAATTCTTGGCAGATCTCTGCATGATTAAAAAGATCATTAGTCAAGACTTGTTGTTTTGTATTATTTGAGCCTTCACAAGTCTGCCATACAAAAATGAGAATAGAGAAACGCGATATTCACACATTTTCTTTAGCTTCCCAGCGTTTGTTTTGGCTTGGAACAATTACAGTATTATGAATTAAATAAATGTGCGAAAACAAGGTAATATCTAAACATAACTTAACCTTTTTTGTGCTTCAAAGCTGATGAAACCACAGTGGAAATATTATGAAAAATATTTGTTGTTGTTAAAAAATATCGAATGAACACCGAGAATCATCGTGTGGGGACACCATGAACCACTGTGTGCACACTTCAGTGTCCTCTAAGATATCTGATCGTATCCGTGACACTGTGATTGAACATGCTCAATAAATTTTCGTTGCAGTGTTCGCATGGAAAAGGGAAGTTAACGCGATGCGCATACTGTATTACTGCTTTGTTTCAAACCTTTACTTTTGATTGTTCTCATTGCAGTTAAATGTAAGAAAGTTCTAAAATAGCTTTTGTTATAGTTACAAACCTGGGTTGTCACTAGGTATTTTTCTTGGAAGGCTTATTTTGAATTAAAAGTTATATATTTAATTAGGGGTGTGCAATATATCGCAATATATCAGTTATCGCAATATATTCTCTGACAATATAATATTGCAATATGATTTTAAAATATTGCAATATTTCAATTGCATTGTTAGAATGATGTCTAAAACATGGTTGAATATTAGCATTTAAAGAAAGAAAGGAAAAAAATCTTGCAAAAAAAAAAATGTTTACTTAGCTCATTTCCGGTCTTGTTACGGGATTTTTTTACTTAATTTGTTTTTTATTTTACTTAAAAACAAGTTAGACCTTAGTCACATAAGGGGACACAAACATAAAACAGGAATAGCTTATTTAGTGTTCAAATATTTCATTTCCATGATTTCTATATGGTCACAATATATTGCAGTATTTATTAAAATATCGCAATATATCGCAATACCATTTTGTCTGGCAATACTCAGGCCTATATTTAATAACATAGAATAAAGAGTGTTTCCTTGTTTCGTGGCAGTCATTTTGGCATCCAGCCTCCTATTGACAACCCCGAGTTAACTGTTATAATTGCTTGATTCAATGCATGAAAAATGTTCTGAATTATACATTCCTGTACAGATATTTTAAAATGCAGATGCCTACTGTATTAATTAATTTTTATTGATGTCATGTAAAGCAAAAGGTTGTTTAAAGTGAGCTTACTGCTATTGCCATGTACATTATGTGTCATTAAGGTGTTGCTTTAAAAGCAAATACATTTTACACCACAGGCTTAATTGAAACCAAACTTGAAGGATCCTTAGGTGTTCCCCTTTAAAAAAAATCAAAAAGTTAAATTTATTGATCTTAAAAGAATAAAATTATCTCTCAGAAGCCACAGGGCTTAAACTTAAGATAATTGTACATAATAGTTTAGCAATATCTTGCACAACACATGGTTGTCATTTCATTTATCTCTGTAATTGGCTTAGTTAACTTAAGAATCTGTATGTATATGGTTTTAGTCATAATTATAAATGTAATGTTCAAAATTCATCTTAGGATATGACCATAAAAAATGAAAATTTTAAAATAAATTAAAAAAAAAATTCTGACAAAAAGGATTTTTGTTGTCTGAATACTTTCATGTAATGAATCATGATAAACATTAAGGCTTGAAATGTTACTTTCTGGTTTGAAGTTGAATTACCATTGAACAATTTTCTTCTCATTTAGTTTGCCTCCTTACTGTTTAGCTTACAAGATTATCATGTAATCTTCTGTTTTTATGCCCCCGCCATGTAATGGCCGGGGCATATAGTGTTACCCTGTTCCGTCCTTCCGTCATTCCGTCATTCTGTCATTCCGTCATCATCAGTTTCCGTTCATTATCTTAGTAACGGTTGCACATATTCAACTCAAATTTGACATATGGATATGTCATGAGAAAATACAGGTCAAGTTCGAATTTGGTCATGGTTCGATGATTTTTGGCAGAGTTATGCCCCTTTTACTTTGAAAATAATATGAAATTTTCAGTTTCCGTTCATTATCTCCCCAACGGTACAACACATTCAACTCAAATTTTACATATGGATATGTCATGAGAAAATACAGGTCAAGTTCGAATTTTGTCATGGTTCGATGATTTTTGGCAGAGTTATGCCCCTTTTACTTTGAAAATAATATGAAATTTTCAGTTTCCGTTCATTATCTCCCCAACGGTACAACACATTCAACTCAAATTTTACATATGGATATGTCATGAGAAAATACAGGTCAAGTTCGAATTTTGTCATGGTTCGATGATTTTTGGCAGAGTTATGCCCCTTTTACTTTCAAAATAATATGAAATTTTGAGTTTCCATTCATTATCTCCACAACGGTACAACACATTCAACTCAAATTTGACATATGGATATGTCATTAGAAAATACAGGTCAAGTTCGAATTTGGTCATGGTTCGATGATTTTTGGCAGAGTTATGCCCCTTTTACTTTGAAAATAATATGAAATTTTCAGTTTCCGTTCATTATCTCCCCAACGGTACAACACATTCAACTCAAATTTTACATATGGATATGTCATGAGAAAATACAGGTCAAGTTCGAATTTGGTCATGGTTCGATGATTTTTGGCAGAGTTATGCCCCTTTTACTTTGAAAATAATTTGAAATTTTGAGTTTCCGTTCATTATCTCCACAACGGTACAACACTTTCAACTCAAATTTGACATATGGATATGTCATTAGAAAACACAGGTCAAGTTCCAATTTTGTCATGGTTCGATGATTTTTGGCAGAGTTATTCTCCTTTTACTTTGAAAATAATATGAAATTTTCAGTTTCTGTTTATTATCTCAACAGTACAACACATTCAACTCAAATTTGACATATGGATATGTTTTTGGAATGCCCAGGCCCAGTTCGAATTTGTTCATTGTTCAATGATTTTTGGCAGAGTAATGCCCCTTTCACTTTGAAATTAATATGAAATTTACAGTTTCTGTTCATTATCTACCCAGCAGTGTTACATATTCAACTCAAATTTGAAATATGGATATGTCAAAGGAATGGGCAGGTCAAGTTGGAATTTGGTCATGGTTCGATGATTTTTTTGGCAGAGTTATGTCCCTTTCACTTTGAAAATAATATAGATACATCTTAGGAATAAGCAGTTTAAGTTTGAATTTGGTCGTGGTTCAATGATTTTGGACAAACTTATCTTTCTTGAAAATTGGAAAAATTTTGAACTTTCAGTTTCAGCACTCATACTTTTGTGGAAATGTATGTAGCCATTATTTTGGCTACAAATATGAAATATGCTATTTTCAAAAGGTTAAGACTGAATAATTTCAGTGCCTTCAACATTGTATGGAAATGGTTTGTGTTAACATTGAAAAGTTTTAAGGGCTTTGAACTTTAAATGAAAACAATAATTTGTGCAAACAAATTTGGAACTAAATATTATAACATCTGAAATTTTGGCTGCATGCGGGGGCATCCGTGGCATGATGACACATTTCTAGTTTATATATATTTAAGACTCTTTAAAGAAGAAAAAAACAACTCTAAAAGCTTTTAAAGAGGACATAGACTGGGCCTTGGCTGAAGTCTTGAATGGTAAGTAATTTGCTTACCACAGTACTTTGAATGATCAGAATGATCTGATCATGATCTTTTTTTTGTGACATTGTTTTATCGTAATTAAAGATTTGCATGCAGTCTAATAATTAATTTTAACAAAAAAGATTGTAGTGAATTGAATCTATAATCTTGTGTCATTCTTAAATTGTAATTTGTTTTGTGATATAGTATATATATATTTTATATTTACTGCCACAACATACTAGCCACATAATGATGGACAAGATTGGAGATCATGAAATGCAATTTTGGTGTCATCTTATAAAATGTTCCATATTTATGTGTCTTTTATGGCCTCAGTAAACAAGTCACATAGTGATGCACAAAATTAGGAAGTCATTAAAGCAAGGAATATTTTAATTTACAATTAACTCTGAAAAAAGAAATATGTCTTCTATGGCCTCAATTAAATGGCAACATAATGATGGACAAGATTACTAAGTAAGAATGAGCATGGGATAATATTCCATGAATTGTTATCACCAAAATTGTTGTTGTCCTTTAGCAAACCAACAGAGTGAGGAGAGCTGTTCAGATGATACAAATGACACCAATGTTGATGACATAGAAATGCAAGGCAGCAGAACTATTGGATGCGATGATGGTGGCCAGGAACTTCAAGATAACAAGTCTGTTGACGACAATAATTGTGACAGTGAACAAAAAGATAATTCTGACGATGGTTGTAGTGAGTATATTTTAACATTTCAAATTTAATCTTGTCTCCAATTTCAATCTATAGTCTATGTAAGTTTGGTGACAGTTACATATTTTTTTCAATATTGATGCATCGTTATTGGCCTTGTTAAAAGAGCCACAAACTGATGGACATGATTGGAAGATCATTGAATGCAATCAATATTTTAAATAAATAACATAATCTGCATTAATGTGTCTATAATGGCCTTTAAAAAACTTGTCACATATAGATGGATAAGACTGGAAAGTATGAAATGAAAGGCAGGTTTCATTTTACAAATTATTCCGTTCTGTAATAATATGTCTTCTGTGGCTTCTAAGACAAGTCACATAATGATAGACAAAGTTTTCAAAGTGGATTGAAGATTTCTTTATTTAATTCATTTATTGTGTTGTTGTGTTTCAGCAAACACATTTGTGGTGGAGAGTTGTTCAGGTGATTATGACATAAATGATTGTCACATGGAAATTCAAAGCAACAACTTTAGTGGTAACATACAACATCAAGGTTACAAATCTGTTGAAAATGATAACTGTGGTGAGTTTCTGTTTTTGATTTGCAAACATTGATCCCATTTTTTCATTTTTTACATAAAAAAAATATGTTAATCTGTTTGCTGAGTGAAAAAGTATAAATTATATCTTAAATATTGTGTCTCAAAAAAAAAGTATTTGGTGATACATAATACAGTGTGTGTTTAAGTTTACAATACATTCTGAATCTTGAGTGTCTTCTTTGGCCTCTAAAATAAGTCACATAAAGATGGACAAGATAGCAAGATCATGAATAGAATTTATGTTTCATTTTACAAGTTATTCTAAATCAATGTGTCTCATAAAGCTACACTAAATTGGCCACATTATGATGGACAAGATTTCAAAATAAGCATGGAATAAAATGCATATTCAATTTATTAACACCAATTGTAATTGTCTTATAGAAATCAAACAGAATGAGGAGAGCTGTTCAGATGATTCAAATGATGGCAATGATGATGACATAGAAATACAAGACAACACGTTTGTTGACGGTAATGATGGTGACATAGAAATTCAGGACAACAAATCTGTCAATGACAATGATGGTGACCTTAAAATTCACAACAAATTTATCAACGGCAATGATGGTGACATAGAAATTCTAAACAACAAATTTGTCAATGACAATGATGGTGACCTTAAAATTCACAACAAATTTATCAACGACAATGATGGTGACATAGAAATTCAGAACAACAAATCTGTCAATGACAATGATGGTGACCTTAAAATTCACAACAAATTTATCAACGGCAATGATGATGACATAGAAATACAAGACAACACGTTTGTTGACAGAAATGATGGTGACATGGAAATTCAGAACAACAAATCAGTCAATGACTATAAAGTTGACATGGAAATTTACATCAACAAATCTGCCGATAGTAATGATAGTGACATAGAAATTCACGACAAATATGTCACCAGCAATGACAGTGGTGAGTTAATGTCTTTTAATTTGAAAACTTATTTTTTTATCCTTCTTTTACTTTCATAATAGCCTATTAATCTAGTAGTTGGGAGGGAGAATTTTAAATTTGTCTTCAATATATTGTGCCTGTTGTTTGGGTTTTAAGGTTTAGGTTTTATGGAACAAACACATACCAATATTTGTGCATTTAATGAATAATATTTGAAAATGATATGAAATACAGTGTGTGTTTAAGTTTACAATACATTCTGAATCTTGAGTGTCTTCTTTGGCCTCTAAAATAAGTCACATGAAGATGGACAAGATAGCAAGATCATGAATAGAATTTATGTTTCATTTTACAAGTTATTCTAAATCAATGTGTCTCATAAAGCTACAATAAATTGGCCACATTATGATGGACAAGATTTCAAAATAAGCATGGAATAAAATGCATATTCAATTTATTAACACCAATTGTTATTGTCTTATAGAAATCAAGCAGAATGAGGAGAGCTGTTCAGATGATTCAAATGATGGCAATGATGATGACATAGAAATACAAGACAACACGTTTGTTGACGGTAATGATGGTGACATGGAAATTCAGAACAACAAATATGTTGACAGTGATAATGGTGGTGAGTTAATGTTTGATAATAAAGTTTTAGTAGTGTTTTTAGTCAAAAGTATGATTGAATAGATCTGAATATGCCATGTCAACTTGCATGTTGTGAATAATACATGGCATATTAATGGGATATTTATAGCCATGAAAAAGCCACATATTGATGGACATGATTAAAAAGGGATCATAGATGTATATGCTTCGGATTTGTTAACATTATACTTGTAAACTTGGTGTTTTGTTAGCAGACATACAACACAATGAAGGATATGAATATGATCATTTTAGAAAACTGACTATTATTTAATCATTATTGTCATGATGGTCTTAAGTTATGCCCTGTATGCAAATTCAAATGCATCAATATAAAGTCACTTATATTGAAATCCATACGTTCTGACAGTTACTCATGGTTTTTTTCAGAGTCTGACTTCAGCTATGATGATGATAAAGATGAAGATTATGTCTTGCCTTCAGACATTGATTCAGACGAAGAGTTTTGTCCAGCACCAGACATGTCAAAGTATCTGAAGAAACTTGTTGAAACCAAGATTTTGTTTGAAAATGTTAATGAATCAGCAGATTGCCTTGGTTGCTGCTCTGTTCCAGACATCCAGAAGAAAACTGCTACGGCCAAGAATATGTACAAGAGAGTTACTGAATCAGCAGATTCACTTGATAGTAATTGTTATGTTCAAGGCATTGGAAATGATGCTACTGTTCCCCTGGAAAATGTAAGCGATTTAAAACTGAAAAGGTTAGATGAGGACAAAATTATCAGAGATGTGAATTTAAGAAAAATTTACATGCGAAAGCACATGAAATTGTCCGGAAAGCAAAGTCAACAGATGCGGAAAAAAACTACTGAAAGAATATATAACAATTACCACTGTTGTTTTTATTGCTCTAGATTTGTACAATACATAAGCACACACATGAAAACTCACAGAAACATAGATGCTGTGCGAAACATAATGAAAATGACGAACCCAGATTTCAGTACAATAAGAAAGCTAGGAGATGATAAAAATAATCAAAAAGTAGTGGAGATGAAAGAGGGTGAGTTTCTCATTGCCCGTCGACCAAAGAACAACTACTTGGATGTTCAACAATATGGGCCTTGTCCCCATTGTAGGAAATGGCTTCAACTTAATGGTTTAAAGAAGCACATTCACCAGTGTTTGAAAGGAAGCTCTGAGGATGAAATAAAAGAGAGTGTAGGCAACTGTGTCTTGAAATCCCAAGTCATGGCTGGATTTATATCTTCAAAAACCAGCAAGGTCATGAGAGAAGAAGTCTTGCCAGCAATGAAGAGAGATACTGTTCGACATGTTGTTATAAATGACAAACTCATACTAATGCTTGGAGAAAGTTGGTTGAGACGAAATGTTGACAATGTTGAAAAGAGAAAATACTATGCCAGTCAGCATATGCGACTTGTAGCAAAAATGTTGCTTGAGTTGAGAAAAATGAAGGAGTATGAGGAAGGAAATGTAACTGAACAAAATAATGATGACACAGAAACTGCACTCTGGGAGTTTCTGAAACCAGGTTGTTTTGACAAGATTGTAGATGCTTCCCTTCAAGTTTCATTGCCAGATATGGATGACATGAGTGAACTGAAAGCACCCAGTAATGCTATAAAATTGAAGTACGATCTGAAACGATTGGTCAATATGAAGTATGCCTTTCTGATGAAAACAAACCAAGAAGGCAGAGAAGTCTCTGATTGTAAATCGTTCCTGGAGCTAATGAATTTAGAATGGAGTGAAAGAGTAACAAAGATTGCCAGGACTATCCTGCAGAAGAGAAAGTACATAGAAAGCAAAGACTTGCCTTCACCTGATGACATTGAAAAGTTGACTAAATATCTTGTGTCACAATTAGAGTCTATGGAACTGATCCCAGACAATTACATGAAAATTAATGCTCTGTGTCAAACACGCTTGATGATGTATAACAAAAGGCGTTCAGGAGAACTTGAAGTAATTAGGTAAGTGATTCAATAAGCAAGTACATTTATTACATATAGTAAGCTTAAAAATTTGTGTTCAGATAGCTTTCCTTTTTTCTAATAGGTGAACTTAAAATAATATTTTTTTTGCAAAAGATTAAATAAAAGGATACGTTAACATCCAACAATTGTCACCTTATATCAACTTGAAGTGTTTCAGTAGCTTGAAATAATATATTTTCTATCACATCTCAGTCTTCAGAGTTATGCAGCCAGAAGAAAAGACCTGTCTGACATTGACGAATCTGTGGCAGCTGATCTAACAAAAGTGGAGACATACTTGCTAAAGTCTCAAGAGTTGATGACAGTTCGAGGAAAGGTAAATTTTCATATCTTTAAATATTATTTGCTTTCCTGAGAAATTCTGGTGATGAGCTTTTAGATCTTGTGATCCAAGTGAATTACTGATGAAAATTAATTGGCCTATTACCTAAATGGCCAAAAATCTCCACTCAACTGAACATTAATACAGCTGCATAAGTAGACAAAAACAATGCCCTTCAAGGTCAAATCCCGGGCTCATAAGTGACCTTGAACTTCAAGGTCTTCAAATTATTGTATTTTGCTTGATTTTTGCTATAGTTTTCTATAACATTGTTATTTATAGATGGATTGTCTACAGACTTCACAATGCTTGTGTCAAGACCTAGAAGAACAAACTGAATTTGACCTTTACCTTTATATGACCTTGAATTTAGCTAAAATGGTGATAACTTTGTTAATAATGGACAGATTTGATTGATACTTGGACAAAAAAAAAACACTTAAGGCAAAATCGACATTTTTCTTTCTCCAAGTTTGACCATGGCCTATATATGACCTTGACCATCAAGGTCAAATTATTGAATTAAACTATAATTCACTATAACTTTGTTATAAATGGATGGACCGTCTAAAGACTTGGACAAAACGACAACTAGGAATATATAAAGTCTAGTATAACTGTTCATAATTAGTCTCTTAAGACCTGTCTATAAGTCTCTTAAACTTGTCCATAATTAGTCTCTTAAAACCTGTCCTGAATTAGTCTCCTAAAACCTGTCCATAATTAGTCTCTTAAACCTGTCCATAATTAAGTCTCATAAAACATGTCCTGAATTAGTCTCTTAAAACCTGTCCAAAATTAGTCTCTTAAAAACATGTCCATAATTAGTATCTTAAACCCTATCCATAATTAATTAGTTTCTTAAAACCTGTCCATAATTAGTCTCTTAAACCTGTCCATAAGTAGTCTCTTAAACCTGTCCATAATTAGTCTCTTTAAACCTGTCCATAATTAGTCTCTTAAACCTGTCCATAATTAGTCTCTTTAAGCCTGTCCATAATTAGTCTCTTAAAACCTGTCCATAATTAGTCTCTTAAACCTATCAATAATTAGTCTCTTTAAGCCTGTCCATAATTAGTCTCTTAAAACCTGTCCATAATTAGTCTCTTAAAACCTGTCCATAATTAGTATCTAAAAACCTGTCCATAATTTATTAGTTTCTTTAAATTAGTCTCTTAAACTTGTCATTAATTAGTCTCTTAAAACCTGTCCATAAGTAGTCTTATAAAATCTGTCTACAAGTAAACCTTACTTTTTAGGGTGGAAGACCTGTACCTGTTATTGTACCCCAAGATGTGAAGGGTCCATTAGACTTCATTGCATCGAAGATGACCAGAAAAGCAGCTGGAATAAGTGAAAGCAACAAGTACTTGTTTCCAAATACTGGTGAGCAATTGAAAAATAAAGTTTTATAAGACATAATGATCAAATACATGTCTTCTTAAAATACTTACAACCATTTTTAGCTCGACTATTCGAAGAATATGAGAGCTATTGTAGTCGCCCCGGCGTCTGCGTCCGCGTCGGCGTCTGCGTTGGTTAAAGTTTTCTGTAAAGTCAAATATCTCATTTATTACTTGAGATATTCAATTGAAACTTACAATACTTATTTATAGTAACAAGGTACATCAGATTGACAAGTTGGATAACTCTGCCTACAATAATGACAGAATTATGCCCCTTTTTAACTTAGAAATTTTGGTTAAAGTTTTTTGTAAAGTCAAATATCTCACTTATTGCTTGAGATATTCAATTGAAACTTACAATACTTATTTATAGTAACAAGGTACATCAGATTGACAAGTTGGATAACTCTGCGTACAATAATGACAGCATTATGCCCCTTTTTAACTTAGAAATTTTGGTTAAAGTTTTTTGTAAAGTCAAATATCTCACTTATTGCTTGAGATATTCAATTGAAATTTACAATACTTATTTATAATAACGAGGTACATCAGATTGACAAGTTGGATAACTCTGCCTACAATATTGACAGAATAATGCCCCTTTGGAACTTAGAAATTTTGGTTAAAGTTTTTTTGTAAAGTCAAATATCTCAATTACTGCTTGAGATATTCAATTGAAATTTAAAATTACTTTTTTATAGTAACAATGTACATCAGTTTGCAAAATTGCATAACTCTGCCTGCAATATTTGCAGAATTATTTGCCCCTTTGAAACTTAGAAATTTTGGTTAAAGGTTGAAGGTCTTCAAAGATATTTACTTATGCACTTCGGGTCATAATTGGAGGGTCATAATTGTATGTCACTGACCAAGTTCCATAACTCTATCTTGCAGTAAGGCTGATTCATATCCCCTTTTCTACTTAGTCTCTTGGTTAATGTTTACATGCAAGTTTTACATTTCTCAATAACTATTAAAGATATTTATTTAAAACTTCACATATGCATTAAGGGTCATAATTGTAGGTCACTAACAAAGATCCATAATTCTATCTTGCATTTAGGCTGCTTTTTCTCTACTTTTTCAACTTAGAAATTCATGGTAAAGTTTTGCTTGTAAGCTGTTATCTCAATAACTACTGAAGGGTTTGTGCCTTTTTTGGGACAATTTTATGCATTCATAATAATAAAGCAGTGATTTACTTGATAAAACATCTTAATAACAAGCCTTTGTACCTTTTCTGTCAAATTTATGTATTCATAGTTAATTAGTATTATTATACTCAATAAAACACCCTTGTGACATTACCTTCCGAATATTCAAGCCAATACTGTATAATTAGACTCTCTCTAAGGCCTATAACATGAATTTATAAAAAAAAATTAGCCCTTTTGTGAACTTAAAAAATTTAACATTACCAATGCTCTTTTACTATCAAGCACTTAGAATAGTCGAGCGTGCTGTCATACAGACAGCTCTTGTTATATTAGTGCTCATAATTTTCAAAGTTGATTGTCATCTGTTAAAGAAATGATCTATTATAGCTGAAGTTGTATACATGTCATCAGTATGCAACTAATACCAAGGTTTCAGATAAAAAAGCATAAATTGTCGATGTTTATATTTCTGTTAATAACACTTGAAAAAGTTGTGAATATCGAACTAACTAAAATAATTGAATGTTTTTACCATTTGTTTGCATATTAATACATTCTGGAACATTTAATTTCACTACAATTTCTGTTGCAAATATGTAAACAAAGTTGTAATATTGACCTTGCCTGTACATGTAATGTAAATATTTGGGACTCTTTCACCTGTTGTAATTCTTTATCACACAATATTTATATGCTGTGTATCTTTGTCAAAGTATCCTATTTTTTATGATTTTTTTTTATTTTTATGCTTTTTATAAAATCTTTTACGATGTTCTGCGTAATACACTTAATGGGTACATTTCCTTTCAGCTCTCAAGTACATTAGAGCATATGACAGCTTGAAGATTGCATGCGATTCGTGCCAGCTGAAATCGCCCCAGCGAATAACAAGTGTGGCCATGAGAAAATATACTGCTACCTTGTCACAGGTTTGTTTCAGCAGTTAAATGAATTGATACCTATATGGAAAAATGTAGAGCTCATTAGAAGCCGCAAATTGAGAAATATGACATTGCTAAAATGAAGAAGAAATTGTCTTGGCAGCATCATAAACCTTCAGTCTGTTGAGGTCTATGACATTTTCATTCTTATGAAACTTTGTCAGAATGTTTATACTGTTTAAATGATCATTGAGCTCAAAACATGGCCATGTGCATCAACTCTTAATCTTTGTTAAGGGGTTAATGTTTGAAGCAGTTTTTGTCATGACCCCTATTTATAAGTTTGCAATCCAATTTCTTCCAGCTGATGAATCTTGATAAGTACCAGATGGACTGGCTGTGTCGTCACCTTGGCCATACAAAACCTGTCCACAGAGAAGCATACAGGCAAATGTCTGGTTTGATTGAGAGAGTCTATGTTACCAAACTAATGATGGTGCAAGACTTGAATTTAACCGGGCAGTTCAAGGGGCAGTCATTAGAGGATATTGATTTGACAGGTACAGCTGTCTTTTATATATAAATTTTCTTGGTAATGGGTATATTTGCTTGCCAGCTTAGCTCAATATTTCTGACATTAAGTCTAAGGTCGTTTGTATCTCAGTGCTGATTCAGAAATCACATTTTATAACTAGTTAATTCTTTTTATAATATTGACAGTGAACAGTGCACATAATGCAGTCCTTGGAATTGACATTAAATTTTTTTATTCTAGTATATTAATTTCGTAGCATGTTCATATTAATTGCAGATTAAGTTACAGTTGGTTGGATTTATCTGCAGGGTATTATTTAATATTTTGACATATTGCCACTAATTTAAGAATAATACAAGCATGTATTTATGTCTCAGATATTGTGTATGGGGCAGATGAGCAGCAGGAAGGAAGAAGAGTTGATGAGACTTTAGACTCTGTTGATGGGTAAGTATATTATGTTGTGCTGTCAAGAAGTAAATTGGTAAATGTATTTTACACCTCGAAATGCTTGATGATACTGGGTGATTACTAGATGACTTTGATGTTGCTTGACTTGCAGCTTCTCTTATGGTTTTTTTTCTCAATTAACTATTTCTGAGGACTGTATCTTTAACAAAATAGATTATTAAGGACACAACATAACTAACTAGTCTGCATAAAAATCAGGCCAAGTGCATTTTGTGGCATTGCTTCATGAAATCAATAATACAACTCGACATGCTGTCATTTCAACAATACATAGTGGCTTATTTGATTAGAAGGATGTTAAGTAAGGGTAAATATGTACCAAAATTGATGTAACATTGACTAGATCAATATGATGTAATTTTTAAAGATTCTTGTATCAACTGTTTACAGTATACATGAAGACTCTGACTGTACTCAAGACAAACAGTCAGGAAAAAGAAACTTCAGTGCTATTTCCTCAGATGAAGAAGAAGATAAAGTACATGCACCAGAAAAAAAGAAAAGGAAAAAGATGACAGCTCGTCAGAGATGGACTGATACTGAAGTTGAAGAGTTAAGGACTTATTTTAAAACCTACCTTGACAGTGGAATAACTCCTCGCGCACCTGCTTGTTTAAAAGCAAAAAAAATGAGTCAGGAAAAGGGTGGTGAGATTTGGAGAAGGGCAAATCACCTAATTATCAAGAAGATCAGCAATATAAACCATAAGTAAAACCACTGAGTTTAATTAAACATTGTTCATATTGCCATAAGAATTTGTCCTAATCTTAAATACTTATTGTTGGATTTTCATGGAAATTACATATAGGTCAGTCAGCTTAACACAGTGTTTCTTTTTTTAAATGACTGGTTAAATAAGATAGTACACTTCTGTTAGCCTATTAATTTAGGAAAAGCATAGAGTTATTATAATGGGAGAGAGAGTATTACCATGGAATGTGTGCATGGTACATTGACATTGTAAATCTGAATTTTGTAACCATAATTCAACCTTGTTCCTCAGATTTTTTTGTTTACCCTTGTTTATTCATTGATCTGAAGCCATTTTCATCTAGTGTTCTTTATTTCTTTAGCCTGTTAAGGACTTGTTAGAAAAAATATAGGCTACCTAAAAACATTTATTTTTCATTGCAAATGTTGTTTTGTTTATCAACAGTTATTTTTCTCCATCTTATGAATAAAGTTATAAAGGAGGCACTCTGTTTTGTTTTGTTTCATTATGTGACATTGTGCATCATTAACCCTTCATAGTATTTATAACCATGTAAAATTTCTTAAAAATTTACCTATTCAAATAACTTGTATAACATGCAGAAATCGTGATGAAATATCAACATAATACATGTCTGTTGCCATAACTGAATTTCACTAAGGCCATTTACTGACAGATTATGGTTACCTGTTGAGAAATTAGTAATGACTGCTTAGTTGTCCCAAGAAAGCCATTAAGATGGACCTAGTACTGAGATATGAACAAAAATGTGTAGAGAAATGCATGTAATCCAGACAAACAAAAGGAATTGTTTGTCTCTTGTTAAGTTTTCTACCAACTAGACCATCAAACTCTTATTTACAGTTCTTGTTAAACATGTATGTTCTATAAAGAGATTAAATACTTTTATTTAGACTCTTTAAATACGGACATAAGTCAACACATAAAACTGAAATGTTAGAAAACTTTTTGAAGACACATAAAACCTAATTGAATGAAGTCACATTATCCATAGACTCTTAAACCCAAAATGTTGGTCCGTCCGTCAGTCCGTCCGTCCGTCAGTCCGTCCGTACGTCCCGATATCTTGTGAACGCAACTCCTCTTAAACCGCATGGCATATTTTGCTTAAACTTACAGGGATGAACAACCTTAATGTGTAGATGGTAGTAAAGGAAGGAATTTTCGCTGCGACCAAATTTAAGAGAATTATGGCCCTTTGTTGATTTTTTCACTAGATACTATGTAGAAATTTTGTGAACGCAACTCCTCTAAAACCGCATGGCAGATTTTGCTTAAACTTACAGGGATGAACAACCTTAATGTGTAGATGGTAGTAAAGGAAGGAATTTTTGCTGCGACCAAATTTAACAGAATTATGGCCCTTTGTTGATTTTTTCACTATATACTATGTAGAAATTTTGTGAACGCAACTCCTCTTAAACCGCATGGCAGATTTTGCTTAAACTTACAGGGATGAACAACCTTCATGTGTAGATGGTAGTAAAGGAAGGAATTTTTGCTGCGACCAAATTTTACAGAATTATGGCCCTTTGTTGATTTTTTAACTATATACTATGTAGAAATTTTGTGAACGCAACTCCTCTTAAACCGCATGGCAGATTTTGCTTAAACTTACAGGGATGAACAACCTTAAGGTGAAGATGGGAGTAAAGGAAGGAATTTTCGCTGCGACCAAATTTTATAGAATTATGGCCCTTTGTTGATTTTTTCACTATATACTATGTAGAAATTTTGTGAATGCAACTCCTCTTAAACAGGATGGCAGATTTTGCTTAAACTTCCAAGGATGAACAACCTTTATGTGTAGATGGTAGTAAAGGTAGGAATTTTTGCTGCGACCAAATTTAACAGAATTATGGCCCTTTGTTGATTTTTAGTTTTCAACTTGTGGCACATGTAGTCCAAAAAATATTTGACCTAGAGTCATAAGATTGACAGAACAGTGGAGTGTGGGGGCATCCGTGTCCTATGGACACATTTCTAGTTCGACTTAGAATTTACGTTAAAGTTTTTGTAATAGTTAAAATATTTTCAAAGTCCATTGACATATGGCTTTGAAACTTTGCACACTTGTTCACCATCATTACCCCAACCTGTAAACAGGAGGAGGTAACTGTATCAAGCATTTTTTTACTATCAAGCACTTAGAATAGTCGAGCGTTGCTGTCCTACCGACAGCTCTTGTTGCCTTGTAAAAAATGCACTTCTCCTGGTAACAGCTTTAAAAAAAGTAAGTGTTTGAAATTATTTTTTCTCCAATAGGATTGCAGTATTTTAAATTTATGGTAACACATTTACTTTGGTAAATCGACAAACTGTGGATCAGTCTAGTAAATCAACTGTTTATAAAAATAATTTAAAACACTAAGCAGGTTAAAGTTTATTAGTACTAGATAAGCCAAAATTAAAAAAAAAATTAACTTGAAAAAATGCATCTTAACTTTAAAAAGAGAAAATTGATTCCAGCTTCAATTAATAATTTACTTGTTATGTGCTAGTAATGACTGACTAACAGTAAATTTCAATGTACTGTACGTTTTACTTCTAGCGGAAGTATAGGCAGTGGTTTGTGCCTGTTCTCGAAGCATCCTATCCAGGAAACATTATACCACAGGTTCGATCCTAACGGTTACTGTCATAAGATACAGCATGGTGACTGGTTCGGTGGAAAGGGTCTCGGATTGGCCAAGATAAACATTTCCGGGACCATTGTACATTTGTATGTTACACATGTAAGTAAAATCTATTGTGTGACATTTGACCGTCAGTTTTTCTTAGGACTTAAATTTTTCCATGTAAAAACACTAGCAGTCTTTTTTAGCTCGACTTTTTAAAAAAGTACACGTAGTTAGCCTATTCTAATCTAACATACATCGTGTGTTTGCATTGGCATAAAAGTTTGTTATGGGTTTGTATACAGCTGGGTGTCTCAGTAAAGCTATCTCCACTAGTAAAGGTATTCTCTTGCAACTTGAGACATGTATTTGTAGATCAATAACTGTGTTAATTACCATATATATGTACATGTATATGACACTTGTGCTTGTTAGTCCAGGAACCAAGTTATTCAAGTTATTAGTGAAGATAAAAAAACAAACTTATTAAACATTTCATTGTATAAATTCAGTGACTGCAATATGAATGATATATTTGATTGCTGTATAGCTAGGTATGATGTAACTAAATGTTTTCCAGATTCATGCAGAATATATTGTACAGCTTTAAAGTACGAGGTAACTGAATTCTGTGTTAATCTGGAAAACATTTAGTAAATGATTTTCAGATTCATGCAGAATAAATTGTATAGATAGGTATGATGTTAATAAATATTTTCCAAATTAATAAAAAATAATATTGTATAGCTAGGCATGATTTAACTAAATGTTTTCCAGATTCATGCAGAATATAACAGAGAGAATGATGAGTATCTGGCTCACAGAGTTTGTCAATCGTTCAGTACTAGCCAGTTTATTAACTATACATGTAACATGGCAGATGTGTCCTTACTTTGTGGAGACTTGAACTTTGAACCTGTTGATTTAGGATATAATATGATTTGTTGTAACGGAAGTCTGAAGGATGCATGGTTAGAAAAGGTAAATTTTGTGATTTGATATTTTTTTTTGTAATTTTCTTTAGTTATTAGTTATTTGTGGGTCTGTGAAAATTAGTTCTGTTACAAACCAATCATTTTAGATTATTGAGAGGACACTTTAGCTTAGTTTGTAAGGTGGTGGGCTTCAAATCACTTGCACAACACCTCTGATAGTTAGAAACCTGTCCAGGACATTGAATTTTTCATGTGAGAAAGTTAGACTGTTGGTTGGTTTGTTTACACAGGTGCCCACTTGTGATTGAAATAATGAAAAAGAGGGACAATAAATGTTTTATTTATGATTGATATGATTGTTCCATTAAAAAACAAAAACAAAACAATTCTGTTCCATTGCAGGTGTTATATTTAAGGCTTTGCAAATTTAAGTTTACATATAATTTATGTATATGATTTATCTTCCCAACTTTGAAAGTTGCCAGACAAAGTCGCCATATGACATATTATACTGTGTTACGACATAAAACCAAAACAAAACAAGCAAAAATAAGAACAAAAAAAAATTGCCAGACAACCTGAACATTATCTGTACACACTAAATAAACAGTTTTTTAAAATGTTACTTATTCATTCCAGCAAAGTACGAGGACAGAAGATAAGGAAGGTAACACATGTGACTGTCCAGGTAACAGTTACTGTGGAGACAAATCTGCCAACAGCAAGAGGATAGACTATATTCTGTACAAGGAAGGAGAAGGTATAATTTTATTGTAACAGTTTACTCAATGAATTCTTACAGAAAAAAAAAGAAATCTTTCTGCTAAAAATTGTAAAGCCAAGCCAAAATGCAGAGACTTGCAGTTTGACCAGAGTCTAGGCTTTCTCTATCAAAATCTTTAACAAACAAAATAAAGACCTAAATCACACTAACACTTTAATGGTCATATGGCTACTTTCAAGTTTTACTGATGGAGTAAGACCTCGGGTGCCCCTTCTCTGCATTATTTCATGCACAAGTCTGCTCCCGAGTATAGCCACCAACATTCTAAAATCTAGCCGGATAGCATCCTAACATGAAAGAGCTGAAATCTGTCTCTGGCAGATTCCAGACTCGCAGTGGATAGGGGCAAGTAATTTGACTTCAACAACCTTAACCACATGGTTGCAGATGCTTCTTTGGTAGTTTTGAATTTTAATGCTGGAATAGCTTGCTTTATTAAAAATTAGCAGATTGAAGGTTAATCTGTTCTGTTCTGATAACAGTTCAATCAAATAGTAATTCTGAACTCTTTCCTGTAAGGGGATCTACACAGTTATTTTTATGAATGGCTGAGTTTCTACTAAGATTTCTGCTTTTACCTGAAATTATGAACTTTCTTCACCAGTTTACTTGACATAAATTTACAGTATTGATGCAACAACAATGTTAGAAAGAAATGAGTATGGAAATTATTTGATGTACAAATAGATTATTTAAAATGTTACAGGTGTAATTTAAAATGTTATAGGTGTAAGTGTGGTAGTCGAGGACTGTTCGTTGGCAATGGGTAAAGTTCCAGGAAAACCTTTCAGCTACTCTGATCATGAAGGTGTTGAAGCAACATTATCTGTAGAGAAAAAAGATAAAAAAGGTAAGGCAATCTTAGTTTATACAGTATTTATATAAGTTCAGTTATGTAATACTAGGAAGCTATAAGAGCTTATAAACACGTTTGAATCAGTTGAAACCTGTGCCAAAGGTTATAAAAAAGATTTAATGAGACAAAAACTCAGATCTCGGGTGTTTTATTGGTCAAAGACCAGCATAGAATGTATATTGACCAATGAAAATCCTAAGATTGGAGACAAAACTCACTCCAATAAAAGTTTTATAACCTCTAGGCCAGTACAAAACAAACCAGTATTGAACAAGGAGTGTACAGTTTGTTACTGAAGGAAACAATAACTTAGTCCTGACAAGGTTTGAACCATGTGGCTAATTTGATTGCTCCTCTGACACCTCAACCACTTGGCTATACCGCCATTTTTACAAAGTAATCTTTACATGTATTATATGGTTTTGTGGTTACATTTAAGAATGAAATCTCAGTTTCAGTGGTAAAAAAATGATATTAAATTTGAATTATATGTATATGCATGACATTTTGTAACAGTCAAGTCCCCCCCCCCCCCAAAAAAAAAAAAATAAATAAAAAGATAAAATAAAATATTTCAAACCTTGATGAGGGCTTTCTGTTTAATCTATGTATCAAATATTTCAGTGAAGTTTTAACTTTTTTGCTTTGTCCATTTTTCCCCAGTTACATTATGTTTTTATGTTTTATCATAAACAAATTTCTATTTATAGTTCCCATAGAACAACCAGATAAAGAAACCCTGTCCGGAATACTACAGAAATCCATTAACATCATTGATTCCGGTCTTCAAACGACGAGAACAAACCGACGGTTCTTCATCGCCTTCACCATACTATGCCTGGCTCTAGCCTACGTCATATCTGTGATACATATTCCATATCCCGTAGATTATTTTGTTACATTCTTCAAATTAGTATTAATTCTGTTGATGGGGTTTGGTATTTCACAGTTTCTGATTATGATAAGATCAGAGGTGCATGGCTTAGAGGCCGGTAGACTGGACATGAAAAACTTGTTACAAAATTTAAAATAATACAAGATTATATCATAGGCAAATTATTTGATAAAATGTGATCTTGTTGAAGGGAAGTAATAAAGTTTTTTAACCTTCAGAGCCTGGTTACTTCTTTAAAACATTCATAAATCTTAATCTAATTTAGTATAGAAGCAAAATAATAAGTTTTAAACCTCATTACTTATTGGAAACATTCAATAATCTTTTACTAACTTAGTTCAAGTATTTAGTGTGATTTACTAGATAAGATACATACATGTATGTACCTGTGGGTCATAAAACCTGACTCGAACTCGCTAAGCTAAGGTACTCGGTAATTAGAAAATTCAGTCTTCATTATTGTATAAACAGTGATGTGTTATATTATTTCTTTTTCCTGGTAGATTTGAAAATGATATTCATATACACATATAAACAAAATATTAGTGAAAAAGCTTTTATTAGATAATAAATATTATTATTAAAATTGCTATGTACTTATAAAATTTATATAAACTCTGTTACAACTTTACTGTTTATATGTATTTTACGTAATATAATAATGTAAATAAATGTAAGTCAGCTGTTTTGCTATTGTTCACTTAATTAAAGCTGGTCAATCTTATTTTAGGTATGTACTGTTATTTTGATAGGTATGTTTTTTGTTTGTTTATTTGTTTCTAAACTGTTGCATATTTATGTCTTTAGAAAGATTTAATGTTTTTTGTTGTTCTTTTAACATTATTTAACATTACACCATGTGATTCAAATAGACATATAATTATGGCAATATTTTCAAACTATCCTTTTGAAAAGTAAGAAAAATTATTTTAATATATAGAGACAGCGTTCAAGGTTCTCATATATTGTATAATACATAAATGATAGAATAAGAGGAGTTTTATGTGTATATTATGTGTGACAAATAAAAAAAACCCAACATTTACAACTTTATAAATTCTGGATGATAAACAATTAGTAATTAAGTTAACTGACAATTAACTGTTATTAGTGTTAAAACATAGAAGGTTTGGGCGTGATGGATATTTGTTATTCTAACTTAATTTAATTTTAGCATTTTCATATTATATTATATTATATTATATTAATAGTAAAATAAATATTATATTTTTAAGAGTTTGACTGCTGCAATATGTGAAAGGTGTGTTATCTGTTTCTCATTTGTAAATTTGTACTCTGCATGGAGAATTATTTTGAAAAAAAATATTCATATTTGGCATAGGCAAATGGTCTGAATATTTGTTTTTGCGAAATATGTAGAAAAGAGCTTGATGTTTTCATGATGTACACATAATCAGATTGACATGTTTCATGTTTTTGTTCATGTTTCAATTTGTTTTCACTTCATAGCCTGATATTTTAGTCACTTCTTGTAATTTTGTTAAGCAAAACATACTATTAGATGCACCTGCTTTACAACTAAATGCGAATTTTGATATATATAGTTTTGAGTGATAACAACCAATATAGGGCAAGGTAAGGCTACACTTTTTAGGCAGTATACAGTGCATGCAATGATAATCATTATTATAATTACAGATCAAAGAAATAGAAGAAAAAAAAAACAGAACCTTTTAAGAATGCATAAAAACAACAAAATTGAAGAATGCATATAAAACACAAAATTGAAAATGTTGCAGGCTCGGTTAGATTGAGCCTGGTTAGATTGAGCTCGTTCATGGACGGAACTGGGAAATGCATGGTACTGTCCACACCCCCTAGCACTGACTTAAGCAGAATTCAACATTTAAACATGAAAACCTGCAATCTTATAATTGGCAGTTCGAAATTCAAAGGGCATGACATAAATTCAGCAGAGTAGAGAAAAAGGGTTATTTTTTACAGTTTGTGCATGATATAATAGAATTTTATATCATATATTGTATGGAAGTGTCATTTCTAAGATCTTTTTGTTATCTTTTTGTCCTCGGTAGCCCAGGCTATTTAACATATAACTGTATCAAATGTAGTATATACGGAATTGGCACCGTAGCTTCTGACGATGTTTTGTATGCGACTTTTATATAAGTGTTGTAAATTGTGATTTTTCACTGCTGGCCATACTTTAACTAATGGACCATTGTTAAGACACTGTGATATGTTTTACATTCTATTTAACACCCATAAGTGTATTAACCTTAAATGTTGTTGTTGTTAATTCACAGATGCTGATATATTTCTGTACACTGAATAATGTCACAAGATTAAAATATTGTAAAAGAGTATGGCCTTTATTTGTTTATAAATATATAACTATACATGAATACGTTATGCATTTTCAAGATATCTTTGATGGTGAAATAATTTTTTAAAAAAAGGATGTTTTTTAGGGTTTTCCATGGCCAAGTGGTTAGGGTTGTTTACTTCAAACCACTTGCCCCTCACCGCTATAAGTTCGAATCCCGACATGGACTTCGGATTTTTACCACAAAGTGACATGGTGAGCTTTTGTGATCGCTTTTCGTCCGACGTCCGTCCATAAACTTTTACTTTAAACAACATCTCCTCATAAATGGCCAGGCCAATATCATCCAAACTTCACAGGAATGTTTCTTTGGTAGTGAACTTTAAATTTTTTTAAAAGAATTTAATTCCATGTAGAACTCTTGTGGCCATGGCAACTGAAAGAAAAAACTTAAAAAATCTTCTTTAAAAAGAGCTAGAGCTTAGATATTTGGCATGAAACATCATCTAGTCCATTGTAGTCAGAGTCTACCAAGTTTGTTTAAATAATAGCCATTGGGTCATAATTGGCCCTGCCCTGGGGGAGGGGTTATTGATTTTCCTTATTTTGTATATAGTAAAAACTTAAAAAATCTTCTTTTAAAAAATTCAAATTACTATAGCTTAGATTTTTGGTATGAAACATCTTCTGGTTGGTGTCTACCAAGTTTGTTCAAATAAAAGCCCTAGGGTCAAAATTGGCCCCGCCCCAGGGGAGTCATTGTTTTCCATATATGTACACAGTGAAAACTTTAAAAATCTTCCTTTAAAAAACCCAAATAGCTAGAGCTTAGATATTAAGCATGAAACATCTTCTGGTGGGTGTCTACCAAGTTTGTTTAAAGAAAAGCCCTGGGGTCAAAATTGGCTCCGCCCTAGAGGGTCATTGTTTTTCCCTTTATGTATATAGTAAAAACTAAAAAATCTTCTTTTAAAAACCCAAATAGCTAGAGCTTAGATATTAAGCATGAAACATCTTCTAGTGGGTGTCTACCAAGTTTGTTCAAAAACAAAAGCCCTAGGGTCAAAATTGGCCTTGCCCCAGGGGGGTCATTGATTTTCCCTATATGTATATAATAAAAACTTAAAAAATCTTCTTTTAATAAACCCAAAGAGCTAGAGTTTAGATATTAAGCATAAACTATCTTCTAGTGAGTGTCTACCAAGTTTGTTCAAATAAAATCCCTGGGGACAAAATTGGCCCGCCCAGAGGGGGGAGGGGTCATTGTTTTTCCCTATATGTGTATTGTAAAAACTTAAAAAACTTCTTACAGCTAAAGCTTAGATATTTATCATGAAACGTCTTTAAATGGGTGTCTACTAAGTTTGTTCAAATAAAAGCCCCTGGGTTAAAATTGGCCCCCATATATGTACACAGTGAAAACTTAAAAAATCTTCTTTTAAAAACCCAAAGAGCTAGAGTTTAGATACCAAGCATGAAATATCTTCTAGTGAGTGTGTGCCAAGTTTGTTAAAATAAAATCCCTGGGGTCATAATTGGCCCGCCCGTGAAGGGGGGGGGGTAACTGTTTTTCCCTATGTGTATCCACAAAGCGCTAGAGTTTAGATATTTATCATGAAACATCTTCTAATGGGTGTCTACTAAAATTGTTCAAATAAAAGCCCCTGGGTTAAAATTGGCCCTACCCCAGGGGCTTATATACAGGTGAGCGTTTTCAGGGCCATCATGGCCCTCTTGTTTCATGTACGGAAGCTATCAAGCTAGCTAATAGAACATTGGTGGTTCTACTCAGGTGCCCGTTTGGCCAGAAATAATGCACGGAAGGGCATCTCAGATCTTCCTCCACCAGTAAAGCTGGAAAGTCGCCGTATGACCTATACTGTGTTGGTGGAACGTAAACTCCAACAACAACAACAACAAAAAAAGATAATTGTTTTGCTACCATTTTCTGTGATTTAAGTTAGCATTGCTTTGTAAACTATAAGTTGAAGGCCTTGCTTTGTAAAATTTATGATGTATTATACAATAAAATACTATTTTTGATTTATCAGACATGTTCACAGGACGTCTAGTCATACAGTTTCGTTTTAATTTATGTTAATTTTGATCTTGAAGATATACCATATGTCAGTCTACTTGAGATAATCTAAACACAAATGAGTTGTTATGATGAAGTGCGATTATTTTTGTTACACATCGGCTTTTTAGCAAGAATGAAAACCATGAATGTTAGAAATTACCAAAATGTTCCATTTTTGCCTATAATTTCGTTAAATTTTTTAATTTTGTTACTTTTCATTTTAGTAAGTCTGCTTTATAGAGATTTCAAACATAATTTAAATAGTGTTTTAAAAATGGATTTAGAGCATATAACAATTTTTACATTGTAAGAAAGTAGGACTGAACGTGAAACAACGTGTCATAAAGGTAGAAAAATGTAAACAAAGTGGTATTTGACTTCTGTACAAAATACTAAATCACAATAATCATACCTATTGCCATCAGAGCAAAGAAACAAGTTTAAGATAGTTCATCTAGGTGACAAACGAGTTTTTGAAACAAAACAAAAATGAGAACTAAAAATTATATCATTACTGAGTCATAATGGGCCTTTAACGTAAGACGCATCAAATGACTACCACTAAAAGTAAATGTCTTTCATAAAGACAGCATTTATTTAAGGTCGCTTGTGTAGAGAGTAATAAGCTTTAATATACTCTTAGAATCCATTTTGGAGCCAACCAATGGATGTAAAAGTTCTTGCTCAAGTACACAACGGCTTGACATTACGGGGTTCGAACCTTCTTAGCCATTAGTCAGACGCGAGGGACCACCATCTAGTTGTTGTCTCTGCATTGTTTATCAGTCTTTAAACTAAAAATGTATATACATGATTTACGAAATTTACACGAAAAGATTTGCATAATAAACCATTAAAAGCTTGCTTTGTTTGTTTTTGCTTGTTTTTAATGCGATTTGTTCAAAATTAAAAGTTTATTTGTTGTAAAGTATGTGGTTAATAGTGTTAGATTAAAAAAGCAAAGTCATTTTTGATGGAACTTCTAGGGGTGGGAGTTTCGAACGGAATGTTGTCAGTTCGATGCGACCACTAGACTCCCGGTTATTTCTTTCCAAATAACATTATCAGTTATCAATACTATCTAAAAATTTCGTAATAGACAAGTCAATGGTTTGGGTTAATTATTGTAAAAAGATACCTCTAGAGAAAATTTTATTCATATTAAGACCATATCGAATGAAAACATACAAACTACGGAAAGACCACACCATACAAAGTTTGAGAAATTAGAGTCTATATTCTCTTGATCCATTTTGGCGAATTGGTTTTGGAAGCCTAAACAAACTACAAAAATGCAATCACTTGTAAGAACAAGACATGAGCAATATATTTGAAATTTAAGCATGATAAAATTCATGTCGTCTGTTTTCATATGTAAATGTTTTTGCATTTTGTCACAAAACATTTCTATTTATAGAAATGTTTCAAAATTAAAGAATAAATTAAATTTCCCACACATCTATCATTGTACTCTTGTCATAAAAACACGTTTATCAGACATTTTCAGTGTGTTAAATGTAAATAAATACAGTTTTAATTTTAAACAAAACATGAGCTAATTTAATTATGATTATTGTTGTTATTTAAATGTTATTGTTGTACTTTTTTGCCGTGAACGCAATATGTGCCCAAATTCCACATGATTGCTATGCACGAACTTAACAAATGAAAGTTCGCCCCAAACAATTTTTTTCCGCCCTATGCAGACACCCTGTATTCAAGTGACAGTGACACCACGTTGAGACGGTGGCCCCATTTAGAAGTG